CGGGGGACTCGTTACCCGTCAGAGCGACTGGGTGGCAGGAGCAATGTAAACAGCTTTTTGTTGCAACAGATCATGGTAAGAAGATCTGTTGCTTTCCAGGGTCTGAAGGGCTTCCTGTCCTGAGGAAGATAATTAAATCTTGGTCCCGTCTAAAAGCACACAAAAAAGACCTCTAAATCAACTCCTCGTTAAACAGCCCCCTCCCACAACACACACAAAAGCTTAGAAAAATACTGAAGTAACGTTCCCAGGAGTGACGTCTGAGCGTAGACGATGAAGGTCAAGTACATCCACCGGAGCTTTCCTTCCCCCGTCTGGAAATGGCTCTAGAGAAGGACGAGTGAGGAAACCAGGGACTGTATGACGCCGTCTAACCAAGGGCAGAGGAGGAGAGATAAATAGTTCACGGTTAGGCTGACTCCTCTCTCCCATCGTCCGTTCACGGAGATCCCACAACATCACCGGGCGGTAGACATCCAGGCATCTTTCCACATAACCTCCCCAGATCCAGCTTGCTTTAAAGTCTCTCATCTGTTCCTTCCAAAAGCCAACATTGTTGCCTTCAGTCCTCAGCCCGCAGTCAGCCATCCTGCAATACAAATCAGAACCTGTGGCGCGGCTGGGTCTCATGGAGCAAAGTAACAGCGGCCCTAGAAAGCGGTTTTAGAGATGGATTTGAGGGGAACATGTGAAATGATGAAGTGTCAGGATTTAACTATAAATGGCATGGGATTAAGAGATCATACAGCAGGTGAAATCTCAGACTCCCAGCATGCTTACTCTGGTGTTTCCTACAGGGGGCAGCACAGAGCATTAGTCCCTCAAAATGTTTCTTACTACAATGTTTCCCTTTTGGAAATACACAATGGAAAATTAGCAGGCTATTTTAAATTGCACACAAACTTTGTGGATACGGAATATAAGGCACTTTAAAAACTTGCAAGAAAAAAATGTACGTATAAGGTACAGATCTATGTGTATATATATAAGCTGAATATATGTATATTGCATATACAGACTCAGGAACATATCCAATTTTGTTTAGTCCAGTATTGCTCAACCCCTCTGTGATAAATATTTGATGATTAAATTTAGCAGAAGATAATGGACAACAAAATCAGAATTGTAGAGGAAATAACATATGTTCTTACTGCCAAGACAGTAATCTTGACCTGTTCTGCCCTCCGGGGGCTCAGTGGTCCTTGGTGAGATGACATCCACTACCACAGAGAATGTTCACACCCTTAAGTTTCAAAATGAATATACATCTTGAAACTCCTTTGAAGGGGATATGCAAATTACAAACATAACTACCTCTTTCGTCTCCTATCATTTTTAATTATAAGACTCATAAATATCATCTGATACTAAATAATAAATGCACAGATCATTTTTTATAATGCCCTTCATTGGTCTTGTCTGGTAGGAAAATCTTCTTTTTTTTTAATTAAATCATAGCTGTGGACATCAATGCAATCACGGGGTACAATGTGCTCATTTTATATACAATTTGAAATATGTTCATCAAAGGAAAATTCTTAAATCTGAAAACTCCTTTGTCTACATATTCAACATTTGGGTATAATTTTTTTTTCCTTCTCACTTTTTCCCTATACAGAGCAAATGTCTTCTCATTTGTTACTGATTTGGATGGTAATTGGACTATGTACCATATATATCCACATTATATAATAACATACTGTCCATTAACTAGGACAAATGAAATTAAACACAGTAGAACTTCTATAAGTTGACCTCCCCCCAAAGGATTGTAACAAACTGGTCTGCATACTGAGGTGGTCAACATAAGGAACGAGGCCTACTGTGCTGATACGTACATGTGGTGCATGTCCAGTCTATGAAAATTAGGTCAACTTAAGGCGGTGGTCAGTGTAGGGAGGTGTCAACTATGGGGGTTCTACTCTACTAGTGGTCAGTGAACCATCTCTATGATTTATGAGATGAGAACATTTGAATATAAAAGTTCAATTTCCATAGAATAAAATTAATTTTAAAAAACAGATCTTTATTTTTTTATTTTTTTTATTTTTTTGAGACAGAGCCTCAAGCTGTCCCCCTGGGCAGAGTGCCGTGGCATTACAGCTCACAGCAACCTCCAACTCCTGGGCTCTAGCGAGTCTCCTGCCTCCGCCTCCCAAGTAGCTGGGACCACAGGCGCCCGCCACAAACGCCCGGCTATTTTTTGGTTGCAGCCGTCATTGTTGTTTGGCGGGTCTGGGCTGGGGATTCGAACCCGCCACCTTAGGTGTACGTGGCTGGCGCCTTAGCCGGTTGAGCTATAGGCGCCGAGCCAGATCTTTATATTTTTATAGAGATTAATGATCAGGAAATCTTACTTGTGTAAGTGATCTTTACACCTAACAGGCTGTGAATTTCTCCTAGCTCAGGAGCATGGTTTAAGTAATTTGAACTGTGACAGATTAATAGACGGGAGCTCACAGCCAGTTTCAAACTGTTCATTCTTTTCTTTCTTTTTTTTTCTTCTTTTTTTTTTCCCCACCATTTTATTGGTCTATCATTTTATATTTTTAGTGTTTGGGGTTCATTAAGAGTACAAAGAATTAGGTTACACTGATTACATTGGTTAGGTAAAGTCCCTCCTATAATTGTGTCCCACCCCCAAGAGGGACACCCAGTCTCCCTCCCCTCTCCCCTTCTCCCATCCTTCATTCCCCTGCCCCCCCCACCTTGACTTGATCTGAATTTTTCTCCCAGGAGGGAATGTATTAGATCGTCTACTGGCTTCATATTAGAACTGGGTACGTTGGATTCTTGCTTCTCGTTTTTGTGATATTTTACTAAGAAGAATGTGTTCCAACTCAATCCAGGTTAACACAAAAGAAGTCTCACTATTTGTTTAACCAAAGCATCTCCTCCTCTGAATTCAGAGATGTCAATGAGGTGGGCATCATCCTAAGCACTTGGGTGGCATCTACAATTCTATCCAGAGAAGCTCTTTTTCTGAGAGTCAGGGGCAGCCTCTACAGACATATTTGGCACGTGGGTGGCTAGCATGATTTTAGGCAGCACCCAGAAAATCTTGCATCATGGTTCTCTGGTTTTTTGAATCACAAACTGACAGAGAACCTGATCAATGCTATGGACTTCTCTGCCTAGAAGTGAGCATATGTTCATATATAATTTTACATACAAAATAAAGTATTTTCATGAACCTCCCTGAAGCCATTTTTCAGACCTGAGGCTTAGAGCCCTTGCCTAATATATCCTAGGAAATTCTCCTCTGGCACCAAATCATGAACTTTTTCTTATTCACCTTTATGTTCCTAGCTTGAACTATGTTAGGACAGTAGAGGTGGAAACAGGGCTAATATATTTGCCAAGATGTCAGTAGGGAAATGTTAAAAATAAACTTGGTTTGCAAATCTGTAGAGACAGCAAACACATTAGCTGGTTTGCTAGGGCTGAGGCAAGGTGGGGGAGAGTACTGCTCGTGGGTACAAGGTTTCTTTTGGGGATGATGAAAATGTTCTAAAATTAGATTGCACTGATGGTTACATAATTCTGTGAGTACATTAAAAGCCAGTAAATTGTATGCTCTATATGGGTCAATTTCATGGTATGTGAATTATATCTCTAAGCTGTTTTTAAAGTTGACATTATAACAAAGGAAAAATTGGCTCAGCAGACACTGACAATAAATTGCGTATGACTGGAGATAATTTGAATTGTCTTCGATGAGGAAGGAACTAGAGGGGTTTTGGTTAAAGTAACTGAAGTTTTGCTCCTTGTGGGAAACTATGGAGGCAGCGTGTTTGGGAACTGGACCGTGCGAGGCCACCCATAAAACTAAAGAGCACTGGCTCCATCCACTGGGATCTCTGCCTAACCCAGGGTGCTGTTTGTAAGAAGGACTCAGCAGGGCAGCCAGCAGGGGCAGCCCTCCATGACACTGCTTAAAATTAGCAATAGGACAGCCACTTTCCCAACTCCTTTTTCTGAACACACTACAGACTGTTAACTCATAAATATAACTCCACCATGAACTTATTTGTATCTCAGTATGTTCTAACAAATTCCATATGCATCCCAGCTTGCTCTGGATGATTTGAGTGTAATTCTTGTGTGGAAGCAGAGCCTGGATTTTAGAACATTGAGGTTCCCACGTATCTGGTTCTCATCGCCCCTTTTTCCACGATGCTGTCAAAAGTCTCTTTTGTAGTATAGGCGAGAGTTTCTAAGTCTCCTGTCTACTAGACTTTGCATCCACAGTCTCCCCTTTGCATCAACAGTCTCCTCTGTTAGCTTGTAAAACTAAGCTGATTTACACATACGCAGTCCTTGGATTACGTGCAAGATAGGCTCTCTAGGTTTATTCTTTTTTTTTTTTTTTTTTTTTTTTTTTTGAGACAGAGCCTCAAGCTGTCCCCCTGGGCAGAGTGCCATGGCATTACAGCTCACAGCAACCTCCAACTCCTGGGCTCAAGCGAGTCTCCTGCCTCCGCCTCCCAAGTAGCTGGGACCACAGGCACCCGCCACAACGCCCGGCTATTTTTTGGTTGCAGCCATCATTGTTGTTTGGCGGGTCCGGGCTGGGGATTCGAACCCGCCACCTTAGGTGTACGTGGCTGGCGCCTTAGCCCGGTTGAGCTATAGGCGCCGAGCCTCTAGGTTTATTCTTAAGTTCAATTTGTATATAAATTGGAACCAGTACATTTACCTATTACCTGTAGTAGCCTCCATTCGTAAGTGTGAGCTATACGGAGGTCAGATGTCTGTAATTTGTGGACTGCTTGTAGTGTACTGGAGTAGTGGTGGGTTCCTGGGGTATCATGTGAGTTCACAAACAGGACAGTCTTCATTCAGTTTCAAAGTCAGTCCAGTTCAATTTTGTACATGATGAAACTGAGGTCCCAAGAGAAGAAACCCCCCATGCAAGGTCATGTAACCAGCCAGTGGCAAGACTAAAAGTGATGCATTCCCAACCATACTGCTTTCACAACTACTGGGCAGCCTCCTAGACCCATTATAATAACTCATCTTAGCACCTCAGAAACCTTCCTCGCATTTTTCCCGTGGTTTGACCCAGTACTGACCTCACCCTCCTGTCTGGTCTCCTCTCCTTCATCCTGGTCAAGTTCAAATTCGGTGCCTCGGTCCACAACATCCACCCCAGCCTGCACTCTGGGCTTCTCATTTTCCCACTTGGCAAAGCCTTTGTCCTTTGCTGCTTTGTCATGGAACTTGGATTTCATCTTGGGGAAGGTGTGGGACCCTGAGTTCCCCCAGCCACCCTCTGACCACACAGGTTCAGTCTGGGTGGCCTGGCTGGTTGTGGCCCGCTGCAGCCTCACAGAGATCTTGCGAGAAGAACCAGTGACCAGTGTGATGGCTCTGCTGTCCAGGTCCTGATGTCCGGTAGCAACCCCGGGAAACTCAAATACTTCATCCTGCACTGGAAGGGGAAAGAGCCTGGTGATTATTTGACATCTGGCCGTTTGATAGCAAACCATCAAAGTTAGTGCAAACAGCAGGAGTCCTACGTAAAAGGTCCTAGAGGAACAGACTAGGGGAGAGCAAAATTAGCTGCAGGCAGGTTGCCGGATAATGAAACTGCAAAGCAGAGAGAAGAGCTTGGTGTTTACTATGACTCTGACCAGGATAGACAAGAAACCAAAGGAGGGCCAGGTGTGGGGGGACGAGTGGAGAGGCATTTTGGCAGCACAGCAAGCAGAGGGCATTACCTGGGGGCAGCGAGGGGCTTCCAGGCAGTGACCCGTGACCACTGCCCAAGGACGGTGCCCGGGCAAACCTCCTACAGGCCAGAACCAGGAGGTCTTTGCACTGTTTATGACAATTGGCTCCACAGTCTGAAAGATTCCAAATGTGTCACAGATGGTCAGGGTATCTGGTGCTGACCGAGCTGCAGGGGTGGCCCTTCGGCTGTTAGCCCTCCCCTACACTCCTCAGTTTCTGGGTTGGATTGCAAGAGTCCAGCTCAGGCCCACAGGGTGTGTCTAGGGGGCTGGAAAAGGGCACACGGGGCCACTCTTGCTTTCCTAAGGTTCCTTTTAAACGTCTTCCTCTGCACAATCCATTAAAGTGCTCAGGGAGCAAACGAGCAGAGTCCAGTCTGGGAGGAAGGCTGCTTTTGCCCCAAACAAAATGTCAATCACATGGGGCTGGGATTCTCTCCCAGGCAGACAGGGGATCCCCCGCCCCCCGCAGAGGCTCTTGAGCCAACAGGGCGAGAAGCCTCAGCTGCTCCCCGCTCCCAGGGCTGACCACTGTGCCTGCCCCTTCCCCAGGAGGCGAGTCTCCACTCAGTACTTGTCTGGACTTTTAAAATTTTTTCTTCATTTCCCAAAACCTTTTCTAGACAAGTGATCACATATCTTCTGCTTCCTTTCTTTGTACAGAAATAGAAAACAAGGTGAGTGAGCATCTGCTCGACAAACATGCTCCATACTTGACTATGGTTTGAAACGGTGCACAGCAGGCATTAGGATGCTTCCCACAGCAGAATGCCAGCTACTACTCGGGGTAGAAAAACGTGGCTACTTCAGGAGATGGCTCACAATTATGAGGGTCCTGCACTTCATTTAGAACCGTTGAACAGATACAGTCATTTTATTTTATTTTATTAAATTATAGCTGTGTACATTAATGCAATTATAGGGTACAATGTGCTGGTTTTATATACCATTTGAAATATTTTCATCAAACTGGTTAACAAAGCCTTCACCACATTTTCTTACATATTGAGTTAAGACATTTATCCTCTACACTTAGTAAATTTAACATGTACCCTTGTAAAATGCACCGTAGTTGTGTTCCCACCAATTACCGTCCCTCCTCCTCTCCCCTCGCCTCTTTCCCCTTCTTCTTGGGGAATTAAAGAGTATATATCCTACAGCCCAAGAGGACCTTTCTAACTACCGTATTTCCAATACCTATTCCCTTCCGCCATATGGTCTTCCAGATAGGCTTAATGACATGTTCAGTCTATTTAATTAGGTTTTTTCACTCTATGTGCCATTAAGAGAAAACAAAAGGGCTCAGCGCCTATAGCTCAACCGGCTAAGGCGCCAGCCACCTACACCTAAGGTGGCGGGTTCGAATCCCCAGCCCGCACCTGCCAAACAACAATGACGGCTGCAACCAAAAAATAGCCGGGCATTGTGGCGGGTGCCTGTGGTCCCAGCTACTTGGGAGGCGGAGGCAGGAGACTCGCTTGAGCCCAGGAGTTGGAGGTTGCTGTGAGCTATAATGCCACGGCACTCTACCCAGGGGGACAGCTTGAGGCTCTGTCTCAAAAAAAAAAAGAGAGAGAAAACAAAAGATTATCCAAAGGTTTTACTGATTTTCATCTTCATAAAACTGTGTGTGTGTGTGTGTGTGTGTGTGTGTGTGTGTATAAACAAGCATTGTATGTTTGTTGTATATGTTTGTGGGGCTGGCAGATAGAAACCAAATAAAATAATGATTCACTGCTATTGGACAATAAGATATTGCAGTGTTTTCGCTCCTTGTAAAAATCCAAGTGAGACCAAGACAAGTGACCAAGAAGCACCAAAGGGAAGGTCCCACTGAGCCCTAGACAGTGGCTCATTCTGGCTGTGAAGTTCTTGTTCACGCAAGATGAGGAGCACAGACCGAAAAACAGCTCAAGGAAAAAAGAGGAAAAGAGGGCGAGGGCGTCACAAAGGGAACAGTCTTTATCTGAAGGCATTCTGTGGCTGAGAGATTTCTTTTTGTAGTTGTATTATATTTTTCAAGAACATTATCAGATGCTTTAAAAAAAAACTTTATCAGATTCTTAAAAAACACAGGATAACTTGGTTCTTTTCCATAAAGTATCTAGCAACCTTTTAAAGACCAATAGTATGCAATAATCATATAGATAAGTAGCAAAATGCTTAATAAGCATTCATAGCACATTTGTCAAATATGTATTTATTCAATTGTTTATACATTTCGATTAAATGAGGAAGTTCATTGACAGGGACAAAAGTAAGTTTTAAAGTTTCTTTTTTTTTTTCCTCCTCATCTAGGTGATTTAGTGAAAAAAAGAAGTAGCTCTGTGTGAGGGGGAAGAGAGCCCTATGGATTATAGAAATGCGCGTGGGTTTTTTTTCTCCTTGCAGGAAAAAGGTCGTATATGCAGTCGTTTAGTTAGTCCTGTCCCACTTCAGAATTCCCACCTTCCCTAGACATTGCTGATTTGCAAGGACTAGCTTCGTGGGTCAAGTTGATAATGATATGCACTTTGAACTTGGGCTGTCCAAAACTCCAGGGATTCCTCACACACATCAACTCTCCGTTGCTACTGGCCTCAAAGAACCTAAATTCTCAATGATGAGATTTTGTGGATTAACTGGACAAATTTGATTCCTACCCAAGATGGCAATTTTTTTTGAATTGTAACAAAAGGATGTATATTTACCTTTGCATTTGTATCCTTGCTTGATTATGCCCCAGAGCTGTAACAAAAGACAGAGGAATGTCAGGGAGTCTGCAGAGAAATCTAAAAGGAAAACAAGGCCGCAGAGAAGGAAGTGCTAGTAAAGCTGGTGACGGGCCAGGCACAAACAGGATGTCGCTGCTCCTAACAGCCTTCCTGTCGATAGAAGAGCCTTCTCCCAGCCGCTCCAGCTGTGTGATAACACCAGTTTTGCTTCCCTTTTCTTTCTCAGAGCCAAATGGGAGCCAGGATGGAAAACTGAAGTTGGTGCATGTGCTGAACTTGGGCATGATGCGCGCTCAGCAAAATCTCCAGGGGGACAAACACGTTGTCTTTGGAGGCTCCTGGCTCCCAAGTTCTAATGAGCACCTGCCCGTGGTGCCCACTGCGGAGATAAAGCTATCTAAGACGCGAACCTCACACCAAAGCATTTCGGTTTTGCCAGGTTATTTTCTGAGTGGTATTTGTACCTTGAAAGAATTCAGAAGGCAGAACTACTTACTTATTCACATATTCATTCTCCACATTTGTTCTGTGGTTGGCCTGTGCCAGGGCTGTGGGTGATGCAGAAAAAGTTCTGCCAAGCAAGGGATCAGCGACTTCCATGTGGTTGACAAGTAGGAAGTGACACACGGCTCAGGGGAGATGTGAGGGCCTGCGGTTCCACCAGGGAGTGTTTGCCCAGGTGGCTCCAGGGCATGGTCCTGGAGGTCGGGTCTTTGCCCTCCTGACACATTCCTAACTCCGTGAAGAGTCCTCTCCTATGCTGTCACTCAGGACTCAGGGCAACAGGGACACCGGAAATGTATACAATTGATAATGAAGTGGGTTTAGCACAAGTTGGAGAAGTTCTGTTGCTAACTTTTTAATAGTTAGATTAGGTGGCTGTTGCCTACTTAATAAAATGTTTGGCCAGGTACAGTGACTCAAGCCCACAGTCCTAACACTCTGGGAGACAGAGGCGGGAGGATCACTTGAGGACAGGCGTTTGACACCAGCCTGAGCAAGAGCAAGATCCGGTCTGTACAAAAAACCAGAAAAATTCACTAGGCATGGTGGCACATGCCTGTAGTCCCAGCTACTTGGGAGGCTAAGGTAGCACAATCGCTTGAGACTGCAATGAGCTATGACGATGCCATAGAACTTCAGCCTGGGGACAGAGTGAGACTCTGTCTCCCCACCTGTAAGATAAAATAAAGTAAAAAGATGTTGAATAAAACCACAGACAGTGGCCTCCTGGAACTGATGAGGGTGCCATTCACAGAGATTACAAGAGAACAACACCCCCAAGAGTGGGCGGCACAGACCCAGAAGAAGAGTTAGTAGTTGCCAATTTGCAGCCGCTCACTCAAGGGCAACAGGAAGCCAGCTCCTTACCCTCTTCTGGACAAGGAAATTCCACCACCAGAAACCGCAAAGCTTCCTCTGACCCTTAAAAGTGATTCAGCCCTTCAGAATATGTTATTAAGACACAAATGCCTCCTGGGATAGGGCAACATTCTGCCTTGGAGACAGGAAGGGTTATTTGACAACCCAGTGGAAGCTGGAAGCAAGGCTCAGGTGCCTGGGATGGTGAGAGGAGGGAGGGGTGAAATACAGTAACCTGAAACATCAGGATGACCATATCCTCATCTTTGAGATGATCTAATTTGCTTCTCTTTTGTAAAAGGTGAATGTAAGGATCCAGGAAGGAAAATCATTTGAAGGTCCCTCAACCTGGGAAATCTTTTCCCCAGAGCCTTTGGGTGATGGGAATAACATCACTGATGGTGACAGGTCACATTTATTGAACTGTTTGCTGTGTGAGAGGCACAGTTTCAAGCTCTTTTCGCATATTAATTAATTTAATGATTATAATAGCTTTTTGGGGATAGATGATAGTATTTTTCTTACTGTTAAAGATGAGGAGAGTGACCTGCAGAGAGGTGATGTCACTTGGTCTTACGGCTACTGATTAGGGAGAGAATGTGTCACTGGAGGGAAACACAGGAAGCCACGCTGTGTGAGAAAAAGCCACTGAGGCAGGGTAAGAAAAGATAAGATTTAAGAGGCGGCATCCTATTATCAGGATATGTTACAGGATCAGCAACGCGGCAGGAACTGCTGAACGAGATACAGTCGGGCAAGGGTCCTACCAACAGAGGCAGTCCAGCCGTGGTTTGATAATAATAACCAGGAGAGAACACCAGCTGGCTCTGTTAACCAGTTTGATGAAAGTATTTCAAATTGTATATAAACCAGCACACTGTAACCCATAAATGCATTAATGTACACAGCTATGATTTAAGAAAGAAATAGAGAGAGAGAGAGAAATAAAAAGAAAGAAAAGAAAAAAAGAAAAAGAAAACACAAGATAGGCAGCAGAGGGTGACTTCATGTGGATGGGTGTGCAGAGAGTATTTTCTGTGGTCCTTTGATTTGAGACCACGGGCTGATGTAATATTTGGAGTTGTCATGGACTGAGTCAGGAGACTCGGGTATGATATATGGTCTTGCTAATGTGACCTTGGGGAAGTCACTTAACTTCTCCAGACCTTAGTTTCTTCATCTACAGAATTAGGGAATTACACTCTCACAATTCTGGAATTACAGCAGTGAAATACATCTACTTCAAAACGAATAGTGATGTTGTCTTCCTTACTCTTAAAATGGAATTTATTTCTAAACCAGATGGTCCAAGGCCTGGACAATGGTTCCTTGCATTCCCCCACAATTCCTTTCAATGACACATCTTTTGAGTTATACCTACAAATTCCTTTAAAGCCAATGGACTTTAAAAAATATGTATAAGTAAAGATCAAGTCAGATTGTACCAAAAAATTGTACCATAAAAATTAAGTCACTTAATTTCAGTTAAACCCCAGGAGTATAAAGGACTACTAAAGAAAGAAATGTCACGTACTCTGAGGTGTGTGACATGCAAGATCTCTGATACCATCACCACAACAACATGGTAGGTAATCTTTAATTCCCTTTTGCAGATAGGAAAATGGACTCCGAGATGGTTAATAACTTGGTCAAGGACATAGCAGTAGCAATGGGAAGGACAGAGATTCAAACTCAGGGTTCCAGATTCCAAGTCCAAGAGCTGTCTGCTTCATCACACCTGCATCCATAATGCAGCACCAGCACCTCTGCTTTGCTGAGTCCAGGAGAGAAGCATGGCGCTCCTGAGAAAGACCACCTTGCTCTTCCTGCGGAAACAGTGCCACCACAGAAGGGGGGAACAGGACAAAAGGACTCGGGAGAAGAGAGAACTTCTGTGGGGGGGTTCCTTTCTTTCTTTTCTTTTTTTTTTTTTTTTTTGAGACAGAGCCTCAAGCTGTCCCCCTGGGCAGAGTGCCATGGCATTACAGCTCACAGCAACCTCCAACTCCTGGGCTCAAGCGAGTCTCCTGCCTCCGCCTCCCAAGTAGCTGGGACCACAGGCGCCCGCCACAACGCCCGGCTATTTTTTGGTTGCAGCCATCATTGTTGTTTGGCGGGTCCGGGCTGGGGATTCGAACCCGCCACCTTAGGTGTACGTGGCTGGCGCCTTAGCCGGTTGAGCTATAGGCGCCGAGCCTCTTTCTTTTTTTTTTTTAACTTTCAGAGACAAGGTCTCACTATATTGCCCAGGTAGGACGTAAGCTCCTGATCTGAAGTGATCCTCCTGCCTCATCTCTAAATAACTGGGACTCCAGGAATGAGCCACCACACCCAGGACCTTGAGATTTGAGAAGGGCCTCCTGACTCTCGCTCTTCACCAGAGGACAGTTGTATCACCCTGACTTTGCCCAGCACCTTGAGATTTGAGAAGGGCCTCCTGACTCACTCTCCACCAGAGGACAGCTGTATTGCCCTGACTTTGAGCCACCACTTTGTCCCACTCTGCAGGTAAATGTAATGCCCCATCCCCCATCAGCATTTTCCAGCTGCAAAGACTTCAAAAAATTCCCATCAGAATAGGAAAACATGAAGAACTGGTTCTGAAGATGCAACCTCAGGGGAGAGCTGAGAAAGGAAGAGCTCCTTCCCTGGAGCGGTAGAGAGAGCTGGGTGGTTTGGCTTCACCCCTTGACCATATCAGCTTCTATGAGCATCGGGGCCATCTCTGAGGTCACAGGTGCCTCTTATTTACCCATTCTCAAACGGGTGTGCGCATGAACATAAACTCCCGCCCCTGGGCTCCCCACAACCAAGTTCCTTTTGTGGTAGCATTCAAATTCTACATGGACCAACGGTGGGATATGACTGCTGAGAAGACTGGCATGTCTGAACTCTGGCATCTAGAAAAAGGAGGAATTGTCACACTCATCTGCCAGCTGGACCTCCCGCACCTGAAATACCACATTGTCCATGTCCATTTCAGGGTCCGAGAGTCTATGTTCAGGCCAGGATCACAAAGTGACCCCAGTTTTCCAAGAATTGTCACATGTGAGGAGGTCAGCGTGTAATCGTCACCAGCTGCGTGTAGGTAGAGCACAGGACTGAGCGTCAGAACACCTCTGATTGAGCACAGGCTCTGGTAAGGGCGAGCTGTGCAGCCCTGGGGGACTTGGTTAATCTCTCTGAACCTCTCTATCTTCTTAGACAAGACAGGCAGAGTACAATACCCACTTAGAGGGCTCGCCGTGAGGATTAATTATTTTAACATCTATGGAAGTTTCCATTGCTGTCAAGTGTTAAGTAAATGTTATTTATTATTATAATCATCTCTTCTCCAAAAACAATTTTTCCTTTTTGAGTTGTGAATTATTGAGCCATGCCATGATGCATTTCTGGTGCCCAGTACCATACGAAATGACCACTGGCAGGACCTGGCTAAGATAACTCCCCTTAAACTGCAGCCACTAATAAATATCAGTGATGAATGCCAAGGCTTACCGGGCTGACACCTCTCCCTGCCGAGATTAACGGACAAACCACTCTCTTCCCTTACAGGCTTCACCCACCTTCCCTGTGTTTGCCTGCCCTGCACTTCCAGAAGATAACTAAACCCATAGATCTTGCTTTTGTTTTATTTAATCTTTAATTTCAGGAAGCCATCATGTTTTACTTCTGATCCAAAGCCGACTATGGGCTCCATTTAGCACCTCTTTTTCCTACCTTCTCTGAACGCTGCACAAATAAACACAGGCAAAAGAAAATAATGGAAAACAGACTTACAAATCCCGCGCAGTGTTCGCAGAAGGTTGGCTTGAGATAGGTCATCTCCTGAAAATTATGGATAAATCCTGGTCCCATTTTACAGTGTAGTTGGGATTTAGCTCTCAGGAAGTAAGCCATCATTTCATCTTTGCTAATTAGGCCATCCCTGTTAAGAGAATCAAAGAAGGAAGGGATCTTAGAATACCTTGCGGCTGACGGGTTGCCATGCTTCATTCCCCAGCCACCCAGACCTTGGTGGCCAAAAGCTGATGAGGAATGGTCACTCCTCTGTTACATTTGATAGGAGAAACAGACTTCACAGGACAGCTTTAGGTGTTCAAAGGCTTTTTCAGGAAGCAGAAGGTGGTGTGTGCTTGTGTGTGTGTGCGCGCGCCCCTGCAGGACCACACTCGTGTGCACATATGTGAACTTGGGGTCCTTCTCTCTCTGTCCCCACCACGTTCCCACCTCCGCCGGACTCTGCTCCTGGTAGGTCCTGCTCAGTCTCTTCCCCTGTTTCTTCGTCACCTCACTAACATGCACGGACCCTTCCCTCCTGAAACGCCCCTTTCCTGCTGCCGTCTCCAACACTCGCCTTTGCTTTCCTCCTTTTCACTCCTAAAGTTTTCAGAAAGAGTATTCAGTAGACTCTTTTTTCCTTTTCCTCCAGTTACTTTTTTGCTGCGTATAACTGGGCTTTAACTCTACAGTTCTATTGAACTCTCACCGAGGACATTCTCCCTGGCCTTTTGTCCTTGGCAGCAGGTGACACCGGACACACTTCCTCCTTTTGCACGTCCTCTCCCCTAGGGACTCCTGTGAGGCCAGGCAGCCCTGGTTTTCCTCCTTCCTCCCCTGCTCCCTCCTGCTCTGTCTTTTCTGCACGACCCACTTGTTCCTTTCAGCTTCTACATGTGGAAAGGGGGTTCGCTGACAGCTCATTCCTCAGGCCCTGGGCTCACCTCCCTCTAAACCAGCAGTTCTCAACCTGTGGGTCCCGACCCCTTTGTAATAATGAAAGTACATCGCGGCATTAGGAAGGTTGAGAACCAGTGCAGCTCTCCCACCAGAGTTTGCTCCCACACTCCAGACTACAGCTTATGCTGCTGGGCCGAAGACTTACTCTCCATCTCCAGCCCCAACTGGTCTCCTGAATTTCGATACAACATTTTCAACAATTCGCTGGGCATTGCTTCCTGATGATCCACTCTCCTCTCAAAATTAACATATCTGAGCCCAACTTGACATCTTCTCTGTACTCCCTGTCCCAGCCCTCTGAGGCGCTACAATCCCTCTCCGCCTCCCAGAACCACCTGCTTGGGAATTTAAGATCCCTTTCTTGGCTTTTATGCAAAATAACTTTAAAATACTTAAAATTTATAAAACTTAAAGAGTCATCTTGTGTCTTGTTGATCTCAAGAGGAGGAAATTATCCCACAATCACTGCATTTAATCACAAATACACATTACAAATGTCAGTACAAGTATGGTGAGGAAGGTTATATAGGCTGGGAGATTATAGAGCCATAGATATGTAAATACAGATACAGATACCGCACTGCTGAGTCACATAGCCCCAGGGGCAACACTTAGGAGAACAAAGTGAAAGGGGCGGGAGTACAAAGCCCAGGCAGGGGCGGGGGGCTCAGCCCCTTGCTGGGTTTAACAGAGAAAGGAGGGGCAGTATTTGCCCCCTGCCTAGCATGTGCTGTCTTTAACCACATAGGTCTGCTGCTACTAAGTAGCTGCCCAGACAGGAGCTGCGCTTCCCAGCCTTTCTTAAATCTATGTGGGGGTCGTGTGACTATTAGCCAGCAAAAGAAACTGTTGGGCTTTCCCACATTCTCTTCTCTCATCTGCCAGAAGTGCACAGGGGAGTCCAGAATTGCAGAAGTTGACGAAGTCACGAGGTAGAAGGAGCCTAGTTCACAGATTAGCAGGAAGGGGAAGGTTGAGCAGGAACCCTGGACTCTTAATATGCATGAGGACAGACCTTCAGTGTGTCAAGCTACTCTAAGTTTGGAGTTTCTCCCAAACTGCTGGGATCTTAGTAACTGCACCTGGAAATATCTCATCCCACTCTGCAAAGACATCAGTCCCCAGTTTATGGTGGGGATCGCCACGCTTGAGTTCTCGGGAGGTGGGGCCGGTTTCCATGAGGGCTGGGCTGGCCCTGAGGTGGGGCTGGTTTCCATGAGTGCTGGGCTGGCCCTGGCATTGACCCAGAGAACCCACTGTGCTCACCACCCTTCTCCCTCCATTCTGGTAACCAGAGAGACAGGCTGTCTTTAGCCCTAAGTGCTGTTCTAAAAGGATTTCTATCTGAATGAATGGAGGAGTTTCATTTGGTCTCTGACCGATCAAAACCTCCCATCTGGCCTAAAATCTGTGATTTCTTCCTCATGGAATCTTCCACGGGAGGCAGGGAGGCAGATTAAAGTTAAATGCTGCCAGCCAGGTGCGGTGGCTCACACCTATAATCCTAACACTCTGAGAGGCTGAAGAAGGAGGATTCTTTGACTTCAGGAATTTGAGACCAGCCTGAGCAATGTGAGACCCCCTCTCTACTAAAAAGAGAAAAATTAGCTGGGTGTTGTGGCAGGAGCCTATAGTCCCAGATACTCGGGAGGCTGAGTGAGGCAGGAGGTGCCTGGAACCCAGGAGTGTGAGGTCGCTGTGAGGCCACAGCACTCTAGCCTGGCTGACCGGGAGACTCTGTTTCAAAAAAAAATAAAATAAAAAAGTTAAATTTCACCTAAAATAAAAGTTCCCAAGGAGCTTTATGTGGGAGAAGAGATTCTTGAGCTGCTAATAGGGGCTGTGAGAAAAGAGAAAGGTTTTTTGGTAAGTATATATATAAATATGTAAAATAAATTTGTGAAACAGCAGAGCCCATCACCCCCCGGGGAATCACAGTGCACTACACCCTAACCTATTAAAAGTTTTGGAAGTTGCAGTCAAGACATCTATTAAATGAGCTTTAACCCTGTGTTTCTCACACTTGACTAGTTAATTCCTTTTTCAAAAGTGCTGATATCAACTTCTCTGGAACACAGTTGAGAAAATGAAAGAGAAAAAAAAATTCTTTTTGAGACTCTCCAGTATTCACCCCTCAAAACTCTGGTGTGATTAGCCATGATAAAGTTTGAGGTGTCAACTTAAGGTATCACGTTGTCTGACAAAAGAAGTCCTGTAAGCCCTGAATAGTTCCAACCCTCATTCACAGAAAAAATTGTGTACCATGTATCAATCCATGTCAACAGATAGGATATAGATGATACAGAGATAGAGACAGGTATCAGCTGTGACAATCTCAGTGTTGTCTCTAGAACTAGCAATAAAAAGAAATGAAGGGCGGGAAGTGATTTTTACGTCCATGTCCATTTTCATATCACAAATAGTAACAAACCAAAGAAGAAGTGGGTAGTAGGCCCCCGGGATATATAATGAAGACAAACTCGAGACTTTAAGTTGTTTATGTTAAAGTATCAAGGCTCTCCTTGGTGGGCTGAATTGCTTACAGATGTCGTTTTTTTCTTTTTAATTCTCAAACCAACACAAATATTAGGATTTTAATGTGATTTAATTTGGCTGATTCACCAATATAAAGCCCAGTATTTTTTTTTTTTTGAGACAGAGCCTCAAGCTATCCCTCTGAGTAGAGTGCTGTGACATCACAGCTCACAGCAACCTCCAACTCCTGGGCTCAAGCAAGTCTCCTGCCTCAGCCTCCCAAGTAGCTGGGACCACAGGTGCCTGCCACAATGCCTGGCTATTTTTTGGTTGCAGCCATCATTGTTGTTTTGGCGAGCCCGGGCTGGATTTGAACCTGCCACCTTAGGTATATGTGGCTGGCGCCTTAGCCACTTGAGCCACAGGCGCCGAGCCAAGCCCAGCATTTTGTTACAGATGATTTTTATTTCTTTCTATTTATTTATTTACTTATTTTTGAGACACAGTCTCATTTTTTCTCCCTCGGTAGAGTGCTGTGGCATCACAGCTCCCAGCAACCTCAAACTCTTGGGCTCAAGTGATCTTCTTGCCTCAGTCTCTCAAGTAGCTAAGACTACGGGCACCCACCACTATGTCCAGTTATTTTTAGAGACAGGGTCTGGCTCTTGCTTAGGCTGGTCTCAAACTCCTCAGCTCAGGCCATCTACCCACCTTAGCCCCTCTGAGTGCTAGGATCACAGGTGTGAGCCACAACGCCGGCCTTATTTATTTTTATTTTTCTATTTTTATTTTTATTTTATTAGATAGGTCTTGTTGTGTCACCTAGGCTAGTGTATAGAGGTGAGATCATAGCTCACTATAACTTCACATTCCTGGGCTCAAGTGACCCTCCCCCAGTTGATGAAGTGGTCTGGCCTCCCAAAGTTCTGAAATTACAAGCCATGAGCCACCATGCCTAGCCAGATGCTTTTTAAATTAGGAACTAATCCCACACAGTTAACAATTCACCAAATTTTTAATGGCAGTCTTTCTGAGCAATTTTTTTTAAAGTCATTTCTTTTAAATCAGTTGGGTCTTAGTCTCTAAAGCCATTTAATTTTTGAGGAATCACTTGAAGCTGAAGAAAAGGTGAATTTTTTCTTCACTTATCCAGACAACCTTTGAACCATCTAAGAGAAAAAGTGCGGGTGCTTCTTGGCTATTTGTAGCTATCATCTGCTTTCAGGAAGACCATAAATAATCTAAAAAAAAAAAAAAATCTTTTTTGAGTTTTAAGATTGCACTCAGGTCCACAAACGCTGAGGACTCTCCCAGCCTAGATCTAACTATATTTCTCCTCTACTCTTTTTTAATGGAGGCTTTTGGCATTGAGAGGTAAGTAGTAGAAGGGTCATATAACAAATGGAGAGCCAGGCTAATTTGCAAGTGGACACCTGTGTTCAAAGTTGATGATGCGGTCTGCCCTGTGAGTCTATCCAACCAATCGTAAACACCAAGAAAAAAATCAGTGACAAATTACACCTGTCTCATCAAAGTGCTAGGGTTGACACTTCCAAGACATAAATTATAGCTTTGTCTGCTCTCCTCTGATAATAACTTTCTACTTGAAGATGGGTGAATTAAAATATAGCAAAATCAAAACTTACTGATCTTTGTCCAGCACACAGAATGAATCCAGGAAGGGAAAATTGGCAGCTATACTTTCAAAGTCCTCTTGGGAAATGTACCCATCATGGTCATGATCATAGTTCCTAAACACAGACTGGAAAAAAAAAAAAGACAAGTATTTATTAAATGACTATGAGTTGGATACTGAACTAGTTATTGTGAAAGCAATGACTGACATAGTACCCTTTCTATCAGGGAGAAAAGGTTTCATTATACTCTAGCGAGAGATAACTAAATCAAGAATATAACCAGGTAAGTGGTTTGCTGAGGAAAACAGTGCTATGGGTCAGGGAGGAAAGGAAGTGGATTGAGAATGGTTTACTAGAGAGAGCGGAATGGTTTACTGGAGAGAGCAAGGTTTAAACTGAGAACTTGGGGCTGCAAAGGAGGTAAGCTGGGTGTATTCACAAATCCTAATATCTTCACAGTAGAAAATAAAGCTTTAAGATGTTGAATTGCGGCTCGGCGCCTCGCCTATAGCTCAACCGGCTAAGGCGCCAGCCACGTACACCTAAGGTGGCGGGTTCGAATCCCCAGCCCGGACCCGCCAAACAACAATGACGGCTGCAACCAAAAAATAGCCGGGCGTTGTGGCGGGCGCCTGTGGTCCCAGCTACTTGGGAGGCTGAGGCAGGAGACTCGCTTGAGCCCAGGAGTTGGAGGTTGCTGTGAGCTGTGATGCCACGGCACTCTACCCAGGGGGACAGCTTGAGGCTCTGTCTCAAAAAAAAAAAAAAAAAGATGTTGAATTGCCTCCAAAATTAAAGTATACATTTAATGCAATTCCACTGAAAAATCCCAGTTAGGAATTTGTAGTAAATGAACAAATTGATTCTAAGTTCAAATAGACGTGAGTATGTTCACACTAGCCTAAAATTCAGAATAGCCTAAAAATTGTTTTAAGTGAAAAGTAATGAAGCGGACCGTGCCTTCTCATAGATCAAATATTTCATAAAGCTACATTAATCAAAACATGATGACACAAATTACTACAGACAGCGGAAATCAGAAATAGACCCAGGAATTTAAAGCATCAAAAAGTATTTTTTCAAATCCATAGGCCAATTACAGATTATTCAATAATTGCTGTTTAGTTAAATGGCTACTAATCTAACAGAATGAAATACCCCCAAACTACTCGTTAATTAAATATTTTAATGTAAAACATAAAGCTACAAAAGTTAAAGACAGATAGACGAAACTATCTTTCATGTTTCATCATCTTTGTGCGGGAAAGGCCTTTTCTAGCGTGACATCAAAGTCAGAAGCCAAAAAGAAAAATATTTTATTATAACCAAATAGAAACTATTTGAAAGCGGAAAAGCTCAGTTAACAAACGCAAAGGCAAATGACAAACAGAGTGAGTTACTTGCAATGTAGGTGACAGCAAAGACAAAAAGGTGACAGGCAATCACCAGAGTGAAAGGACAAACGGCTAGTACATTCACAGAATGGTGTCCAGCACTGTGAAGATTACAGAAACTTCTTAAAGTCTCAGATTAAATGAAACATTAAAATGCTGTAATTGATAATTCCCTGGGCTATGAGACAATAGGTACTCTTGTTAGTGAAAATAACAAGTGTTTCTTGTTAGTGAAATAAACAGCCACAGTCTTCCCAAGGATGACCAATTGCTTTAAGAAGTACCTACTTGCTGACACAGCAATTTTACTTGTGGGAATCTCTTCTAAGGAAATAATCCACCGAGGTTGCTCAAAGATCCACAGGTATGTATGTGTGTAGTACATGCATGTGTGCGTGTGTATATACACATGTATGTAAAGAGAAAGGGAGAATAAAGTCGTGTAAGATCATCTACAAACCATCGCTGGTTAGTTATCTCTAGAGAACAGAATTACCAAAGCCTGAAGGTAAAGCTTTTTATTTTTCTACCATTTATGTAATGCTTTTGTGTTTACAATAATCTGTCTTCCCTTACAAGTGAGAGTAATTAAAAAGGGTTTTCAATGCCCTTTGCTAAATTAATTAGGCTTTCCAAAAAATTTGCTCATTCTTTCTGCACACAACTGTGTGCAAATGCATCATCTGAGTTAGAGTCCAGCTGTAATTACATTGTCTCCTTTTCCCCAGTAATCTCTATTTTATTAATCTGCATTACCCTATGCTGCAAGCTGCTTCAGGAGTGGTTTGGGAAATAGGCAAGGTATCGATCAAGGAATTATTAATAATTGTAATAATTATTAATAATTATAAATATGACTAAAATGGGTCATTCGCTCCCGTTGCAAGTTTATCCCTAGATAACTGAATTTTAGTTGCAAAATCAAAAACCATTGCTTTTCTTTTGGAAATCTCAATATCAATACTTATCCATCATCAAAATTGCTTAGAAGTTAATTATTGTGGAGTAGTGCCTATTTATAGTTCAATATCCATATTACGAGTGTTACAAGATACTTTGTGGAATAAAATTTATAATGAAAATTCATAATAAAACTGAAGAGAGAGGGAGAGAGAGAGGAACTGAGACTCTCCGTGTGGGCAGGGCCAGAGGAAGTCAGCCTGCAGAACGAGATGGAGGGAGAACGTTCTGCCTCCCGTTTCCTGGCGTCGGACAACCCTGAACTGCTAGTGGGTCCTCACGTTCCTGAGGCCCCGGCCCCTTTCCCCACCTTCCTTGTCCAGGTTGGGTCTGCTACTGCCACATCATCCCAGGCCCCCTCCTTATCTCCTTCTCAGACCCTTCCCTCACCAAATTCCTCCCCACACCACCCTTTCTAATCTTTCCCTTCCTGTCTCCAAACAACTTTCAGCACCTCATAGTTCCCTAGATGAACCAAGTTATAGAACATTCTTCCTATTTGAACATCCTTTCCCAGAGGAAAAAAGCACACGATACCCTGAAGACACGACTGGATTGCCCCGGTGGATGTGTCTACCAATCCATTAAAGTAGAGTTTCCATCAGGGATCGGTTTCCCAGGCCTGAGATTTTGCCACGTTCCCTGTGTTGCCAATTCTTTTCTTCTTTGAACATGGGAAACTCAGACAGAGGCTTGTCCCACGTGGGTGATTTTTCTGACCTCCATGGCCTTGGATTGATGTCATAAAATCCCCAAAATACATCAGGAGAAACTATCCAATTTACAGGGTTGTTTTCTTGCCCTTGGGTAACCAATTTACTGGGCATTTTATTGTAGCATGTGAGTTTTTTATCAGCTCTTCTAATCCCCAGTCCCTGGAGTGGGTGGCAAATGCCTGGGGAAGGGAGGGGCTGGAAGCCACACAGCTGAGAGTCCCTGGGCCAGTGTGAAGGGCTGACAAGGCCGGGGAAGGGCCCTTCTTTTAGACCAGTGGTTCTCAATCTTCCTAATGCTACAGTTCCTGTGGGGTTTTAGACTCTGCCCAGTGGCCAGTGCAGGGAGAGCTGAGTGTTTGCTAAATTGTTACTACCTGCTAGAGGGCTGTTTTCAGGGCCCCCACCTCATACCTGGACAATTGCAGAATATTCTGAAAGAGACAGGGACCTTCCAGCACTCTCTCTTTATTCTCCCTCTGCGGCTTACCTCAACTAGTTTCCTTATGTGCTTGTTGATGACCGTGGGGTCCGGCTTCAGCACGACCCCCGACGCCCACTCCAGGGGCACCACAGGCTTGTTGGGCGTCGTGGGGGAGGTAGGCTGCCAACAGAAAACACACATGTTTTTCAACTTTAAGTGGGGCCTTGAACAACTAGGACCAGGGACACTGAGAAAGGCAAACAGGTTTTGTATATTAACAATACCAGTAGAAACTTACATTTTTATAGCACTTAAATGTTTATAAAACAAGCGTCTTTAGCTAGTGGAATCTAATCTGTAGCTAAGTACATGTTTGGATAGTGCCTTTTGTTTAGCAGCAGCCTAAATTCCATTATTTTGAATGAGAAAAAAAATGTATTCCCAGTCCTCCCCAAAATCTTCCCCAAATATCACTTCCCAGTCCCCCCACAAATCTTCCCCAAATATCACTAATGCATCCTAAAACCTCTGGATAACCATCCATCATGGCTTTTTGTACAATACCAGACATATAAACATCAGTTATCTAATTCCTTAATACTTGGTATGAGTGATCAATTACTAGGTGCACGTAGCAAATGGGTACCAGTGTGTGACCAAGTTCAAGTCCTCAATGCCCGCACCTCGTCTAACATGCTTAACTGCTTCTAACTGCCCTGCTAACCATTAGGTCTCTCTGGCCCTCTGCGGAACCTCCTTTCCCCACAAGTTTTTCCACATTCTTTCAAGACATTTGCGTTTCACAATGTGGGGAAGATGGTGGCATGACTCATAACACTTTTGAACAACACAAGCACACCACAGGACCCTACCAGGAGACCGTGAAGGCTACGGGCACTTTCTAACCTTTCTCTGAAGCCCTCGTGTGATATCAACATTTTTGGGGGGTGCACATATGCAAACCTGTAACAGCAAGTTTTTAATTTGATAACGAATGGAAGCTAAACATTTTTGCAGGCAGCGCTGAGGAGCACCCATGCTCATGCAAGCCCCTACCAATGCGGGGAGGTCAATGTTACTATTACAGCGTCCTCTAGGCTACTAATTAAGCCAAAAAGTATCTACCTTTTGGCTATGTTCACCCCTAAACTCCCACACACTCACTCCCTCCCCCCCCACATTTACACACATGTCCACACACCATGGCTCTTCCTATGAGGATTTTCATCTTACCCATCTGGTAAAGAACAAACCCACAGCAAGGCACTCCAGAGCAGTTGCTGTGAATTCAGACAGGCATCACACATTTCAAATGTGAAATACGGACATACTCAGTATTTGTTGGATGCCACAAGAAACTCCCACCTTGGAGCTGCTCACAGCTCCCCCAGTAGATCAGACTACAGTTCTTTCAGTGATATCATATTGTTGTAAAGGAATGAAATTTAGATTACTCCAGTTTATTTTCAGGATAAATTTCAGTCAATCTTAGGAGACACTTCTGCCAAACACACAAAAGCCTTTTTATTTGCCTTAAGAGCAGAACGAGACATAAGGATGGCACTGTCCAATCTGATTTCTACATTTAAGAAACTATAGTATCCCTCAGGCACACACATCCATCAGTAAGTAAACGTGGCTATTTAAAAATAAAATGAAAATATTAGTTTTCTTTAAATGTCAGTATATTATTTCTTTTTCCAGTGTGTACTGAGTAGTTAGAACACTAACAATTATTAAGCTGTTTGGACCTAACTATTCTGTAAGTGAAACTGCTGGGGTGTTTTTGTTTGTTTTTTTACCTAGGGGGTCATGAAAAAAAATCTGCTGAGATAGTTAGAAGCACACAAAGAACTAATGAGACGCTACGAGTAGGAGAAGGCTGCGTACCTCTGGGACTCACCACGGAGGGTGGGCCAGCCAGTGCCAACCACAAGTGCAGGAAAGCTGGGGGCACTCGGTGCTATAACCTTGACTAGACAGTGGTCACCAGTCATCACCGCACGCCAGATAGGATGGCACTCCACTTAGAGAAGAGACAGAAAGGGGCCGGGAAACGTGTTTCCACAGATTTCACTGGGTCTTAGCACTTGGAAAGGACTTTGAAAGCTTCTGCTCTCATAATACATGAAATGACTTTTGTGTGTTTGACAGAAATGTCTTCTAAAATTGGCAAAAACTTATCCTGAAAGTAAACGGAAAGGCGCCCGGCAGGCAGGTGTGCTAACATGGTCATCCCCACCCTGATCCTGAAGTGAGGGATGGTATGAACAGCACCAGGATTGAAGACAGGCCTGAACCAAATCCAGCTTCCAGGCTGTGAGATCCAGGAAGACACCTAAGCTCACCGGACCTGGTCTCCTTACCAGCGTTAAGAGATAACATATGGGCAATGCCCAGGCAGGCATCCAACAACCACTAGCAATTACGGTGCCTGGTAAAGGTAAGGAAAGGTGTCAGGAGGTGGAACTTCTGTGTGCGTATGTACAGAACAGTTCAACATACCATGGCCAAGTTCACTGGGGCCAAGCTACAGCATGATTGAGGAGCTTACAAACTCCCTTTATTCGATAGCTCTCCCTTCCTGCTAGCTCTCTCTTAGTCATGCTAACTTTGAAGACTCTAGGTGTGCACGCCTTCCTTTGCCTGTGCCGTGTCACCCTACAAGTATTCTCAGGAGACAAGCCTCTGCCAACTGGCAGGAAGGAGAGGCGCTTTCGGAACCACCACCTGCATTACTTTAAGACCAGATGCTACCAGGTCAACTGACTCAAGCCCAGGTGCACACCCTGCCAGGGCCAGAGAAAAACCTGCCTCCTCAGCCTAATGGCACAGAGTCACAGTCGGTATTAATAGACTTTGGGGCTGTGGCTGCTGCCAGAGCTCAACTGGCAAGGAGGTGGGTAGCACATGAGATCTTTATAAGAAAATTGATCTCAAAGCACGATGATAAGTAGCAAACATAGACACTTTCTCTTTCAACATGCAAACCTCATCCTCATTGTAATTTTTAAATTCATCCAGGCACATTTTTATGAGCGTAACACATATACAAGATATAGTTCACTCACTGAAACCAATAAGCAGTGTATGTTCAGTAATGCAATTTCCTCAATCTCATTATTTATTATCTATTTCTTTAGGGTCAACCATTGATTATGTGAGCCACTATCCAATGTGGTACTGACATCCCGAGCTGAGTCGATCACTAGTAGAGAAATGTGTGAATTGTGCTCAAAGTTAAAATTTATTAAATTTGATTTTATGTTGGAGTTTTTCAAAAGCCTGGAAGGGTCTAAGTGATCTTTAAAACAAGTCATTCTTTATTTTTTTTTTTCCCTATGTGTAGGTGAGTTCTCAGCAGGGAAACCATAAATAGATCAGCAATAAAACAGAGTACTGAGAACGGTGTTCTTCCTCTTATCTTTGCCTCGGATATGAAGAAGTAATTCTCAAACTGTCAGGGCCACGCTGTTTTATTGAAAAATGGGAATGATAATCAATTTCTAAAGTTCTTGAATCTTTAGAACACAAAGCAATACTGAAACAGTCAATTACTATGAATGACAAAAAATATATTTTTTGGCACTGATTCTTAGAGAGAAAACAATACTTACTGATTTAGAATTTCTAGGCTCCAGCACCAGTGACAGTTTGTAAATATCATCTTCTGTATGATAGAGGTCCAGAGAAAGCTACAGTCATATTAGAAGGGACAAAAAATTATGTTGCATGGTATTTATTCATTTACGTTGCTGAAATACATTTCAAATTGAAGGTTTACATTCAGTAATTTGAATGAATGAAGAACAAAAAACACACAGCATGCAGAGGTGAAAAATGAACTTTAAAAAAGAAAACGTTAATCCTGGTGTCCTCATCAGCATCAATAAGACCATTGGCTCAATTTCTCAGCATTTATGAAGCCCCTCCTCGGTGGCACATGTTGAGTTACAGTGGAGGGACACTTGATGATTACAGGCCGCAATCAGGGGCAGATACATAAAATAAGACTTGGAAATGTGATAAATGCAGCCTTACAAGTATGATTAAAGAACTGTGGAAATAAATGAGCAATTAACTAAGTTCCTATTCTTTGAAAGCAATGCGCTAAGTCTTGGTGACCCAAAATAATATGAAATCATTTCCTGCCCTCAAGGGCCTCACAATTTACTTGCATAAATAGGATCTGAACACAAAAAAGATGTGTTCACACCAATAAAAGGCAGCAGTGTGAAGTGTGAGGTGAGCAGCCCCACTCCAAGTGGGGTAAGAATCGTACAGGAAGGCAGCAAAGAAGATACATAAGGGCTGGGGTATTGTACTTGGGCAGGCCTGGGTTCAAACACTGATCCTGCCACAGGCTCTGTAGCCTTTAGCAAGTTACTGCCTCTCTGAGACTCAGTGTGTGCATCTGTAAAATGGGAATGATCATAAAAGTCCCCACTGAGTTGGGTTTGGATCAGGATCAAATGAAATTATGCAGAGAAAGTACTTCACACAGGGCCTGGTACACAGTGACATCTCCAGATATGCTATCTGGCGGTGTTGGTGTTATTGTTATTATTATAATTGTTATTAATTATATTGTTATTATGCATAGGGGCCACTGGAAGTAGAAGTGATCAGGATGGATTCACGGAGGTACTGGTGAACTGGGACTTACCCGGTAAGAGATGGGTGAATAAGGAGGGAGAGGTAGGTCAGTATAGGCAAGGACAACGTTAGACCAAGATTGGAGAGCACGGATAAAATCTGCAAAGCCTGAAACACACGTTCCCACTCACCTGAAACGGAAGTAGTCATAGGGCTTAAGGTAAGTTACCACCCGTGTGCAGCTAGGACACTGCACAAATCACACCACTTCATCAGTAACAAAGATGAATAAATACCAGCTCCTTTCTTTGACCATTTAGGCATGAAGAATTTCCTCTAACAAACGTTACTGAAGATAAAGGCATGATGGATGTGGGTGTAGAGAGAGGGAGAAGAGAAAGAAGGGAGAAGAAGAGAAGGCTCCCAGGCAAAGGGCGTTTTTCAGGAATTGATTTTTTGTTTTACTGCCTTTAAAAAAAGAAGTTGGCATCCTAAACTTTTATTTCTGAACCATTCGGTCCTTCAACAAATATTTATTAATCATCTAATATGTATCAGGAAATATTCTAGTCACTGCTCAAGCAGCAACTGAATACATTTACGTTAAGGACTTCATATATCAGGTCATATATTGTTTTACCTAATTTTTGTCACCCGAGGTTTCTAAACAAGAGAACACTGTCTTTACGTCGGCATCATTTCAGATAATGAAAATTCTATTCACAAAGAACAGATATTGTATTCACCTTCCCCTGAGCAGCAATCACTCCTACCTCCAAGGGCTCTGCCTTTTTACAGGAAAAGAATTATCCACCTGTCGCAAACAAATGCCGTTAGGAGCCAGCCCCTTATAGAAAGGAGTGAAGTGCAATGCACAGAAGGAACATTTGGGTAGCGATATCGGTCTTATTTGGACAAAAGGAGTCTCTGCACGTGTAATTAACTTAGGGAACATTCCTCTTAGCTCTACAGTAGGAAAAATTTGTGATGGAAAATTGGATCTGACACTGGGTCCCCACGTCAGGAAGCAACAGGGAGAAGTGTGATAGTGGGTCTGTGATGAGCAGGGGACAGCGGCTGCTCAGGTATGGCTAATTCTTGCCAGTCTGACACTGGATCTCAAGAGCTCTTCTGATTTGTCAAGAGAAGCCAGAAGTCTGGAGTTGTATATGAACTATTCCAATTTTTAAACACTGGCCACTGACAATTTTTTACAATTGTAAAGTGGGGCCACATAAGACACACCGGCCGTGGCAGCTGCCGCACACCATTTTGTAAATTCCACAACGTGTAACTGTGCCGGGCTCTGGGGGGCACCCCCCTGTCTTCTCCATCTCTGTACCCCTGGTCCCAGCTTGTAGCGTCCCACTGTGAAAGTTACGTGAATAGAAAACACAGTGGCTTCTTCCTTTGGAATTCTTTGCTACCATGAGTTAATCCACCTGACTCGGCCAGACTCTGTCCCCAAGTCCTGTGATGATGGGTACCGGCATCAGCAGTGGCACCGAAGCATCCAATCAGAAACCACAGAAGCCACATGCTAATTTGGGGAGGGGCTCCTCCAAAAGAAACAGAACATCCTTGTGTATTTTCATGTGTCAAACGGACGGATAACTGGCCCAGTGATGCAAATGCTTTGTTCTTCTCCAAACATTTGCTCTCTACTTACTAGTGGTGTGAGCCTGGGCAAGTAATTCACCTTCTTGAGTCTCAGACTCCTGATCTATAAAATCATGAAAATAGGTCCCTCCCAGGATTGTGGTGAAGATTCAGTGAGTGCACGTGTGTCCCACGGGGTTTGTTTAGAAGGTCACAGAGGCAGTGTTTGGCTCTCAGTCAATGCAGCAGCCAACTCCACTGGCTCATGGGTGGATGTAAAGTTGTCCTGGAGTCACTAACTGCGCCATCTGTGCTGTCCAGCCCTGGTCTACTTCCCCTCTCCCATCTCTGTGTCTCACAGACCTGCCCCAAGAGCGATCTGTCCTACTTTTACACACCCTTTGTGTAATATGGGCAGCTTGCCCATGGGATTTCTAGAACATTTGCTTTTGTTAACACACTTTGAGTCTGGTTATTTAGCAGCCAATCCTGACATCAAAGATGGCTGCAGATTCAGGTTTCACCTTAGGCTCTACATTGGCTTGACTATTAATTATACAATAAAATGCACTTGGGTATTGAACTACCTCCACTCCCCATGTTTGAAACCATTCTTCTTCTTCTTCTTTTTAAATGAGGCTGTAAAAATACAGGGGCTTTCCAGTTATTTGCATGCACTCAGAATGGTAAAAGTAACTGAAAGAGCTAAAAATACTATCAAAAGATTCAGACTGTTTCATAAACCATGAACCAGAAGCATCAGCTTTTGAAGTTCCTTGTTACATGAGTTGGGATCACAAGGGGAGTCTGGAGATCTTCCCTGAAAGGGGGAGCATCTAAACCCCAGCACTTTGATGGTGCGGTTCTCTGCTGCCTCAGGGCCAAAGACACCGTGATAATGAGGACAGATGGTCCCTGCCCTAGTAGATTTTAACCTGTAATTAACTCCTTTGCTAGATATCCATGAAGAGGGAGGGAAAGAGGTATTATTGCATTTGCACAGACAAGAAATAAAGTAAATCAGATGTCAGCAGCAGGCCCCCATTAGCAAGCAAATAACCCGCGGCTGGATTGCAGAAGTTTTCCATTTACAAGCCTTTTGTACTTTATGAAATTTGATTTCTTCTCTTTTAAAAAAGGAAGAGGCCTGGGTAACTACTCATTGCCTGCAGACTACATCACAGGGTTTTTGTGAGAATTTACCAAGGAAGTGTTTGTGAAAAGTGTAATCAAACTTTAGGAGAGGCTCGGTGCCTGTGGCTCAGGTGGCTAAGGTGCCAGCCACATACACCTAAGGTGGCGGGTTCGAATCCAGCCTGGACCCGCCAAACAACAATGACGGCTGCAACCAAAAAGTAGCCGGGTGTTGTGGCGGGTGCCTGTGGTCCCAGCTACTTGGGAGGCTGAAGCAGGAGACTCCCTTGAGCCCAGGAGTTGGAGGTTGCTGTGAGCTGAGATGCCACGGCACTCTACCCAGGGGGATAGTTTGAGGCTCTGTCTCACAAAAAAAAAAAAAAACAACTTTAGGAGAAAGTTCAAGTATTGCAACACTCTCCATTGACCAGGCAGGTGATAACTGCTGATTGACTTAAGCATTCCCTTTTTCTACCCTCCAGGCTCTCAATTGTGTATTCGTTGCCTCACTTGGCATAATGGTTAGATGAAAACAATCACTTTGGGCAAAAATTTTAGTTAGAGCTCTGGGGCAAATGAATCTCCTGTTCAAGTGCTGTGCCTATGGACACCCTCACGTGCATTTGGGCCACTGCAGTCAATGCTATGGTTCTAATCCAAGTATGTTCTGTTCTTCATAAAATGGGCACTGGCTCCAGAGAACACATGATCAAAGTATTAGTTTTCCTTTTTTTTTTTTTTTAGACAAAGTTTCACTTTGTCACTCTCAGTAGAGTGCTATGATATCATAGCTCACAGCAACCTCAAATTCTTGGACTCAAGCAATCCTCTTGCCTCAGCCTCCTGAGTAGCTAGGAGGATAGGTGACCACCACAATGCCCAGCTGTTTTTAGAGACAGGATCTCACTCTTTCTCAGGCTGTTCTCAAACTTGTGAGCTGAAGCAATCTACCCTCCTCAGCCTCTCAGAGTGCTAAGATTACAGGCGTGAGCCACAGCGCCAGGCCCTCAGTTCTCATATTGAAGAGATTAACTCACCAGTGGTCAGGAAGAATGAATGTAGATTCCCATGCACTGAACTTTCTCCTTGGTTACGGAGAAGAAAGGATTTTGGTTTTAAGTAGAAACTGGCTTGATGTCCAGTCACTCACACACAGAATTAAGCCACTGATGAGCCCCTGGGCTGGTCCACATATCACAGAACCAGATTGATACCTGGTTCCTTACTCTGAGGGCTCCACCATTCCTTATATCTGGGGATTCATAGAACTTTAGAGCTAGAAAAGACCTCAAAAATGAGCACAAAACCCTTATGAAAGCGCCAAAGTCGAGGCTGGTTAGCAAGGAGACAAAGTCTAACAACCACAGAGGCAGGGCTCAAAGCAAGATCTCCCGTCTAGGATTTTGCCCCTGCACTCTAACACTGAAGTTATCAGACATGGGGCTTGGTGGCTTCTACATTTTCCTTCAAAGAGAGAGAAAGAGAAGAAGTGTTCTAGCATCCTTTTCAGTTTTTCTTTACTTGCTAGCAAAACAAAATTTCCTTTTTTTTTGGCCAGGGCTGGGTTTGAACCCACCACCTCCAGCATATGGGGCCGGCGCCCTACTCCTTTGAGCCACAGGCGCCCCCCGCAAAAAGAAATTTTTTCTAAGTTTTTATTTTTAGAGTTTACCCCTGAAATTTCACTGAAAATCTTTCAAGACAGTAGACCCTCCATAGATGACACCTCCCTACATTGACCTCCCTGAGTTGACCTAATTTTTAGAGACTGGACATGCACCAGTGTGCGTATCAATACAGCAGGCCTAGTACCTTCTGTTGCCCACCTTGGTATGTTGACCAGTTTGCTACAGTCCCTTGGCTGGTCAACTCACAGAGGTTCTACTGTATTTCTCTAAATGCCCATTTGTTTGTCATAGTGTTGCCTGATGCTTTATAACTCAAACTTAATTTCCCTACTCCATGACTGTCTTTTACAGAGATGAGAAGTTGCCCGAGTGTAACTTCTGTGACAGTTTGCTCAATCCGAGGCTCCACTCTAAGACGGGTCTGCAGACGTCACCTGTGCCTGTGGGTTTTGCTGTCTGATTGGGGCTGCAATTCTGGTCACTTATTCATGGAAACAGATTTGCATGGCAAAAGATTGATAAACGCAGGTGCTTGGGTTATTATGAGTAGGGTCTTATTCTCCCAGTAGAGAATGTCTGTGTGTGCTGTTTGCCACACAAACCCCCTGAGATTTGTTTTCTATTCTCAATATTGAATTGACTGCAGTTCAGTATTGCAGTCAAGTTTCAGATATGACAGCGTTAGAAACCCAAACAGGGCTATTGCACCTCTACCTGCAGGGAGGTGAGGGAGAGAGAATTTGGTTCTGCTTCTTCCTCACACAAGGAAGCAACAACAGGAAACGTTCTCTTCTACACACATGCTACATCCCCAAAGTTCCAGGACCGGGAGACCAGCTAAACACGGCATGGATGCCACAGTCGTCCAAAAACCATAAGTGGTAGATGAATTTCTTTGGTGTGAGTCACGTTACTTCTAAATATAGCATGCAATTCATCTACTGGGTTCTTAAAATATGCCGTGTTCTGTGAGAGCTGCTGGGGATGTGATATACAGACAGGAAAATAGAAGAAACAATCGGATGCAAAGTGACAACCTCTCCAGTGAAGGAAAATACAAAGCTTTTCCTTATTCCTATTTCCTTATTATGGCTTTGGAGGAGAGCAGAGAAGGCTCTAGAATGATAGAGGCTTTTGAATTTGAACTGGCCACAGGCATGGAAAGGGATGAGATTTTTCAAGAAAAGCGCAAAGGCCAGGAAGCTGAAGGCAGCGTTCCGTGATGGAAAGTACAGCTCCAGTACTCAAAGGCAGGTGTGCTGTGGGAGGCTGGCTGATGGTTGGAGAGCTGAAGGATGTCAGAGGCTGCTGGGAGCTACAGCCTGGTGGCTGGGACAGGGAGATCACAGAGGAGGTCCTTGCATCACTGCAGGCTTCAGCTAAAGCAGCTCAGTGAGGATAAAAGGAAGCAGATGCTTTGAGTGATGAGCTGGATGCGTGGGATGGAGGAGAGTGAGGGCCAGACGCTGGTCTGGAGGAGCCCTCTAAGAACTCCAGAGGCGGAGCTAAACCACCAGAGACTGGGCCCCTCTGAACAAAGGGAATTTCTTTGCCCCGCAATTTGCTAAGGGTATGAGGGTTCTTTCCCTTCGTCCTTCAAGATTTCTTCTCATCTACCGATCCTGAAACAAGTTTCCCCCCAAAGGGACTTGCTGTGCCCTGAAAGCGAGGAGCAGTTGAGTTAATCAGCACAAACTCAGCCCCTTGGAACTCACCGTGAGCAGGTTGATCAAATCCATGTTGGGTTCTAAGTGGTGAGAGGCGCTCTGCAGGGAGACCAGTTCACTCAGGGTGACGGAGAGCTGGTGCATTTTCACAATGTTCACTTTGTTCTCCTCCATCCAGTCTGGGAAAATGACATGGACTGCTATCAAGTCTTTCAAGTGTACTCCAAGAATGGGGATTTTGAAGCCATCGCAGTCAGCAAAGGCCTTGCGGTAATTGCAGTAATTGCCGTTGGAGGAGACTAACTCTGTCATTTCATTCCAGTTCTGGGAACAGATGGAAAAGTAGAATTTTCAGGCAATCTTCCCTTCTGCCCACCTCTGGGCCCTGCAGTGTGCGGCTAGGAAATTCCTCAGCTACTGAGAGAAGTACCAATTGCATCGACGTTGATGCAGAAAAATATTAAGCAGGAAAAAGAAAGCTAGAAAAATGTCCTAGGCCGGGCTGTGAGGTGGGCAGGCTGTTCCATTCTGCTCTAAAACGGAAACAGCCTGCACCTCTGCGTGCCCTCTAGGGATGTTGGGATCCCTCACTATGATATGTTAGATGGCATCACAGATACTTCACTTTCCTGCAGTTCATGAATGTGTTACAGTCCACAAATTCAGACATAGCATATTAAAATGTCTGAGTTGTTCCAAGAAAGTTGCATCCTAGATATTATTTGAGGTTAACCAGGGACACTATGGGGCTAGGAAAAGTTGCACTGAGGAGTGAGATAGCTGTGGTTTGGACTCCACTCACTAACTACAAGGGTGACCTTGAGAAGTCACTACACTTTTGAGGGGGCTCAGTTTCCTTTTCTATAAGAAAGGGAAGTTCAAATACATAATTAAAAATTGGTGGTTCCAACTCTTTATAAGCCTCTATCAGATTTTTATTCTTTACAGCATTTAAAAATATTCTCTGCTTTTTACTTGAAATTTAATACAACGCTAAAAGAAAATAAAACACTTACATAATGAGTCCCATTGTACTTGGAATGAGTGCAGAGTTTGAGGTCAGACAATGGTGCTTCTGTGGCTTTCTTTCTCTGGTCTATATGGACAAGTTATTATTGGTTGCTTAACAGTAACCAGACCTTCCTCATAGTTCCCAATTTTGATTACTCTCTCCCAAATCAGCCCATGTGACTCAGACAAAACCTTTTTCATTCCCTGGACCAAGAATGGGTTCTGACTTTACCATCTGAGTAATCCCATCCCTCTGGTTTGTCATTGGTTCAGGAATACAAGGTTAAGCCAATCAGCACATTGTATTCTTCTGGCTACTGTTATTGGTCCAGAGGTGGTCACATGACTTAAGATGGCTCCATCTGTTGAAAAAGATCTTTAATTCTCTGGGGGCAGAGTTGAAGTGATAATCTTCCTTATATTCAACTGTCATGAACAAGGGAACATAATTTCCCTGTGGTTGCAGGCAGTGCAATCAGGAGGGAATCCAGTCTGATGAAACAAATAAACAAAGATCCCTGATACTCTGAGGAAGGCAGAGCAAGTGAGTCAGATCTCTGACCAGACCAGGCCCAGGATCTTTTCTGACTCTGGACTTCTAGTTATGTTAGATAATACAGTTCCTTATTGTTTAATCAATTTATAAGTTTTTTCCTTTTTCTTTTCTTTTTCTTTTTTTTTTTTGAGACGGAGCCTCAAGCTGTCCCCCTGGGTAGAGTGCCATGGCATCATGCTCACAGCAACCTCCAACTCCTGGGCTCAAGCGAGTCTCCTGCCTGTGCCTCCCAAGTAGCTGGGACTATAGGCGCCCACCACAACGCCTGGCCATTTTTTGGTTTCAGCCATCATTGTTGTTTGGTGGGCCCGGGCTGGGGACTCGAACCCGCCACCTTAGGTGTATGTGGCTGGCACCTTAGCTGCTTGAGCCACAGGCACTGAGCCTCCTTTTTCTTTTTAATCTCAAGCCAAAAGTGTCCTCATTGAAATAGCAAAATATATTCTCACAAGAGAATATTTTCAGAAAGATGCTCCTTTTTTTTGCTCTATCAGGAAAACAATTATTATTGTGGTCCAAAAATAAATGCAGCAGAAAAGATTGATTTGGAAAATGATCATTATCTTTAAAAAAAAAATTATATATATATATATTTATCCTGCTAATTCATCTATAAATCTGAAGGTTTCTAAGTGTATGTCTTCCCCTTCCATGATATCTTCTAACGTGCTAACCCCACTGTTATGAATAGAGTGGGCATTCAGTGATATATTTCAAGAGGGTAGGGTAAGAACCACAGTAGAACCTCTTGAGTTGACCACCTCCTTATATCCATCCCTTCCTTAAGTTGACCTAAGTTTCATAAAGTGGACATTCACCACATGTACTCGATGGAAGTTCCTTGTGGAGACCACCTCCGAATGCTGACCAGCTTGTTGTAGTCCCTTGGGTGGTCAACTTACAGAGGTTCTTCTGTCTTATTCACCTTGTACCCTCCATGTGTAACACAGGGACTATCACACAGTAAACACTGCTTGTTGGATATTTACAACTATAATGTGTTAACAGTATGTCTAAGCATTCTTCTCGGGACATCTATCACCACTTCCAACCTGTTTTTCCAGGTGGACTCAGCTGGTTGGCTATTGCCTTTCTACTTTGTCCCCCATGTGTAACCTGCCACAGTTTGAGTGTTGTCTCTTAGGAATACACCAAACCTAAGCAATTTATGAATGAATACTTTACTTATTATTAGGACCAAATCAACTATACCTTTGTAACTTCTGAAGAAAGATGAGAATGGGTCTCTTTGAGGCGGGAAATGGAACTATGACTAAGGCCTCCCACCACCGCCATCAGCGTGTTAAAATTTTTGAGCTGAAGGAGCTTCTGCAATAAAAATGTTAACATCAGTACTTTGTAAGGCTTTTTGAAGTATTCAAAACTTTCTGTATTACAGGCGAATGCATGCACAATTATAATAAGGAGCAAGGAAAAAGTACCATCGAGTTAAAATGAAGCATGAACAGAATCCATCAGAAAAGTATATCAATTATGTCACAGAAAAGTAGCTACATTAAATATTTCTAAGCATTGCCTTTTGAAAGCAATTTTCTTGCATGAGAGAAGCATGATTCAGACATCAGTGAGTAGTTACTTGTCCTGTGCCTTTACTTAGGAACACTAAATTTCCTTAACAACTTATCTCAATAGAGGGAGTGAACCCCTTGAATCTGAGGACCACAGTCTGATTACCGGACATACCTTTGCAACATTGATAAACTTTGTGATGACTTCTGCCCTTTGCTGGGGGGTTGGTTTGCTAAGAACCATCAACTGGACCCACTTAGAGATTCCATTAAATAAAGCAATAGATCTCTCCAAGGTTGGATTATTCTCCAGGCAGCCATGGATGACATAGCTCTGATAATCGGTGAACTAGCAAAGGAAGATTCAGAGATTCCGAATTATAATGGAGACTTTACAAAATTAAAAATAAGAATATTGCATGGAAGAGGTGAGATATTGTTTCATGACAGCATAATAATTTCTTTCATGTCACATTTATAATGACATCCTACAAGTTTGAATATATGTGTTCCTTTATAATATTATTTTGCTACATTTCAAACCTCACTCCCCCACCCTTGGTCATCAGACACAGACATACACTAAAACACATCCTAGTGTTGCTGGGGGAGGACAGGGCAAGATTCAGAGTCATAGCCCAGTAGTTCTAAATGTACTGGAGCATAAGATCACCTGGGGTATTTGCTAAAATGCTGGTTCCTGGGAACTCCCAAAATTGGAAAGAACATTATTTCCAGAGGAAGAACCTAAGAATCTCCATTTTTCACACACAATCAGTGATTCCAAAGATCAGGTAAGTTAAAGCGATGATGGCATATACAATAAAAGAGAGGAAATGAATCTAAATACATGGATATTGATTTCACATTAGAACCATTTTGTAAAGTTGTTTCAACAGGAAAAGAAAAAGACAAGAAAAAATAACAAAGTCAGTCAAATTTTTAGGACACAGACATATTTTAAGAAAGTTAGCATGGGCTCAGCACCCATAGCATAGTGGTTACAGTGCCAGCCACATGCACCGAGGCTGGTGGGTTTGAGCCTGGCCTGGGCCATCTAAACAGCAATGACGACTGCAACAAGAAAATAGCCAGGCGTTGTGGCAGGCACCTGTAGTCCCAGCTACTCGGAAGACTGAGGCAAGAGAATTGCTTAAGCCCAAGAGTTTGAGATTGCTGTGAGCTGTGATGCCACAACATGCTACTGAGGGCAACATAGTGAGACTCCGTCTCAAAAAAAGAAGGAAAGTTAGCATGGATGTCACCAAATGTGAATGCATAAAAGAGCCTTTAATCATATAAATAGTGTAGAAGATTCCTTTGCATGGTCTGCCTATGGGAGTCCTTAAGCTCCTCTCCACGTAGGATGACATAGTGAAAGAACGAATGTCTTTCAGAAATTCAGGCTGCTAACCAAGATAGTCTTCTTTGAGAGTCATATTGTAATTCATTCCCTGGCACCTCGGAAAAGAAGGAAGAGCGGTGACTTCCCCAGACTGAGATAGAGCAAAGTGAAATGATTGCTGATTGTGAACCAATGTGGAAGTATTATCATAACAAGAAGAGAGCAAGTACACAACCAAGAAGAAACCACAGTCCAGAAGGAAAAAAAGGATGTAGAGAAGGAAAAAGGCTATCAAAATGAGTAGGAAAGAAAGCTTAATTCAGGCTGGCTATCTCCAGTATGGAAACAATATGATGTTGAGATTCTTCTTAAAGCCTATAATTCCTATTTTCAACCTACACACATAATTAGGCATTTATACAAATCCCAACCAAAACAACCCCAAAAAGAAGGTTCTAGAAAAACACGTTCACTTGGGAGAAGTCAATGGAAGTAAATCAACCTTGAATGGTGAAATCGCCATTGAGTGTTTAGAAAAATCATGCTTTAATCCCATGAAAGGAGACATTGAAAATAGCGACAGAAATATAGTTCCTGAGCCATAAAATAAAGTCAGACTCGTATTTATCTTTGGTTAAAAGGGATTATTCCTGTGAATTAAGGGCACTTTTCCAGGGGAGCACAGTGATAGAGGCTGCCAACACTTTAGAGTATGAAAACGCGGCTCTTGGGAAAGTTGGCATGGTGGTTGTTATCTTTGGAAGAATAAATGTCAGGTTTCTTACTGAGATCCTTCTAAAAGATTTATGCTCCAGAAAAGTAAGGTGCTCAGCCAATTCAATGGGCTCCAGATGGTCAAACAGCAGACAGGCTTTACCCTTCTTGGATACTTTTTTCCTCTGTGTGACTCTTCTCATCCAGTCGTAGGAAGGACTGTAAAAGAAGAGGGAGTCTGGTCAATGTGCTGAAAGCCCGTTTCACTCGATGGAAGTTATTAACCTACTGACTCTGTAACTTTTGGCCTGTTTCCAGGAGTGTGGGCAAAATACTGGCCCTTTCATATCAGAAAACAAAACTATCGACCAATTGCCAATAGAACATAAACTTTGAGTTGTTTTTCCAGACACAGTGGCTTTCACGCTGATCCACCCAGAATCTCTGACTTGATCTTCACATGACCAGCAAGGTCTAGATCAGTGGTTCTCAACCTGTGGGTCACGACCTACAGGAACTATATTAAAGGGCCGCAGCATTAGGAAGGTTGAGAACTACTGGTCTAGATTATAAGAGAGAGGTCGGGTTCCTATATAATTTTAGGATTTTATCAGAATATAGATGGTGATTTAAGTCACATGGAAACTACCAGAACCTGTGGTTCTCACACTTCAATATAACATGAATTCTCTGAAAAGTTTGTTGCAAAGACAAGAGGTCTGGATCTTACTGCCAGAGATCCTCATTTACTAGGAATGAACCTGAGTAAGATGTATTTTTAACAAACATCCCTGGTAATTCTTGGATCATTCACCATTGATCACTGTTGAAGAAATTTTCTAGGAAGATAGACTTGGATATGAATGCCTAACACAAGAGCCCACATTTGCAAGATGGGTAACCATATTTAGCATCATCCAATAGTTTCCCGTGTGCAAAGTTAGCTAGTTGATATGAAACTAGCCTAACTACATCAAGTTCCTAATATCCAAACTAACCAACTCTTGGCACAACTACGGTCAACATCGGTAAGGTGGTGGTTCTGAGGTCAACCTCAGAAGCACTGTGGTACAGGGGTTCTGGGCGTCTCAATTTTAAGTAAACATATGAATCATCTGGGGATCTTTAAAGTGCAGATTCCAATTCAGCAAGGTTAGGGTGGGGCCCAAGTGTCTGCGTTCCTGCTGAGCTCCCAGGTGAGGCCAATGCTGCTGATCACACTTTGTGTAGCAAAGTCACTGGAGACATTAACTAGATTCAGATTCCAAAACTAAGTACAGGGCATCTCCTGCGTTCCCAATGCTTTCACACACTATCTGATGTACTTCTTAGATGTTCTTAATAGTCCCATGAGAAAGGTACTACCCCCATTTTACACATAAAGCAACTGCAGCTTGGAGAGATGAACTGTGTCCACTATGGCTGTATTCTCTGCAGCACAGCTTTTCTTAGAGAAGCAAACCTTAATTAATTTAGATTAGTTATGGATTCAGGACAAATGGGGTCATCTCTACACCCTCCTCCAAACAGTGGGCTCTTCAGGTTAGAAAGATGCTTGTGCCACCCTTACATGCTGGATATGTCGATGAGGCCAATATGTTTCTCATATCCTAGTTGACTAGCTACTTCTTGGAATTCCTCAGTCATACGAATTAAACCAAGGTCCAAATTAAACTCTGCTGGAAACTTCAGAATCCAGTACCTGAAAGGCATCAAATATATATTTTTTTAATTTACTTTTTTTTAATTTCAGATTAACGTGAGAGTACAATTAGGTTACAGTGTTTGCGTTTGTTAGGTAAAGTCCCTGTTGGGGTTGTGTCCCACCCTAGGAGGTGTGCCATATACCCTTACATTGTGCCCATGAGGTGGGAGCACACCAATCCCCCTCCCTCTTCTCTCCCCAACTTGAATTTTGAATTGCATTTTTCTCCTGGGCATCACATATTTTTGACAGCTATAAGATGTCAAGTTGGATGTCTATGGACACAATTGTACCGTTTTATAGGCTACATTTAACACTGAATGCAGGACCATAATGTGAATTAGCCCTTTCCTATCCCCCTTCCACCACACTGAGCCTCTCTCTGCTCTCCTCCAATCAAAAACTACTCTCACCCTTAACCTCTCTTTCTGATTCTCTCTAGAACCACAGCAGAGAGGAAGCCCTTCCCCTAATTCATGGCAAGGAGGTGGGAATGTGGGTGGTGAGGGAGTAGAAGAAAATGAGTTTATCCCTTCTAGTTTCATTCCCCACTCATATTTATTTATTTATTTATTTGCAGTTTTTGTCCGGGCCTGGGTTTGAACCTGCCACCTCCACTATATGGGGCTGGTGCCCTACTCCCTGAGCCACAGGCGCTGCCCCCTACTTGTATTTACAACTTGCACTCTAGTCCAAAAGATAAAGTAGCCCCACGCCCCACCCCAGCCGCACAGGGCCAGTTTCAACACAGTCGATGAAAAAAGGTAATCTGAGTAGCTTCTATTGTTAAACTAGGTCTGCTGATCGATCAGGGGAAAAGGAAAATTGTCAACAATTCCAGAACCAGAAACAAGAAGCAGGTAAAGTATATTTACCTCATGAAGTAGCAGATCTTTAGTCGAAACTCATCGCAGTGCTCTCCACCGGCATTCCTGTACGTACCCCAGTTAAAGAAACTTGCAGCTGTTTCACCAGCTCCTATGAAATCCTAACAACAGGGCCATACTGGGGACATTTGGGTCATACGAACACTCAAATAGGGAGAGAAGGGGGTTCTGATGACTTCCACACTGAAGAATTGAAACTTTATTTATATTCATAATAGTTCTGGGACATAATTTTTGGTCTAAAAGAAAAGCCACTGATAAAATCAGTTTTACCTTCCTGAGCACTCACCAGCCAATCCCTGCCAATGGTAATTATGATTACACTGCCCAACTAAACATAACTAAAATGAGTAGTACGCAGAAGAGCTGTGTTAGCCAAAAAATACTTGGTTTAGGACTAAAACTGTCTACAATCGTGCAGCGCATCACAACAGGAAAGACTGTGGATGTGACCATGGTCCCACACGACTTTAATGGGGCTAAAAAAATTCCAAATGCTGAGTGATGTCATAACCCTCATAAAGCTGGAGCCCAGCATTCGTAGAGAGGCTGGTGTAAATAAAATTACCGCTCTGTGACTCCAAGTCTTGTACATACAATATGAACAGTGTATTGTAGTATTTGATAATAATAAAAAATAGCTACATTACTGGTTTATGTATTTATTACACTTTTTGTTGTTATTTTCAAGTACTCCCATTTATATTTTATTTTATTTAAGACCAAGTCTCACTGTGTCACCCTGAGTAGAGTGCTGTGGCATCCTAGATCACGCCAACCTAAGACTCTTAGGTTCAGATGATCCTCTTGCTTCAGCCTCCTGAGTAGTTGGGACTACAGGCACCTGCCACAGTGCCTGGCTAGTATTTCTATTTTTAGTAGAGACAAGGTATCGCTCTTGCTCAAGCTGATCTCAAACTCTTAAGGTCAAGCGATACTCCCACCTCAGCCTCCCAGAGTGCTAGGATTACAGGTGCAAGCCACCACATAGATTTCCTTTTTATATATTTGTATTTTAAAATATTTATATTTTTAAGTTAGCTGTAAAACAGCCTCAGGCAGGTCCTTCAGGAGGTATTCCAAAAGAAGGGACGGTCATCACAGGAGATGACAGCTCCATGTGTGTCACTGTCCCTGAAGACTGTCTAGTGGGACGAGATGAGGAGGTGGAAGACAGTGACATTGATGACTCCGACTGTGGGGGTGTCTAGGCTAATGTGCGTGTTTGTGCCTTAGTTTTAGCAAAAAAAAAAAAAGTTTACAGTAAAATGAAATGAATTTTAAACAGAAAAAGGCTTAGTGAATGTGGAAAATGAAAATATTTATGTACAGCTGTAACACAATGTGTTTGTGTTTTAACCTAAGAATCATTGTAAGAGTCAAAAAATTTAAAAACTTAAACATTTATATGGTAAAGAGGTCAATTTGTTATTAAAAAAAGGAAAAGTAGGGCAGTGCCTGTGACTCAAAGGAGTAAGACGCCGGCCCCATATGCCGGAGGTGGCAGGTTCAGACCCAGCCCCGGCCAAAAACGCAAAAAAAAAAAAAAAAGGGAAAGTAGTTTTTATAAATTTAACGTAGCCTAAGTGTCCAGAGTCTGTGAAGTCGGTGATGGTGGACAGGAAGATCCTTGGCCTTCCTAGTCACCGCTCACTCACTGACTCACCCAGAGCAACTTCCAGTCCTGCAGGCTGTGTGCCTTGTGTTTATACACGCGCACCATTTTTTATCTTTCTCATTGTGTTACATACTGTATTTTTCCATGTTTCGATACACAGATACATACATGATGCTACAATGGCCTATATGTTCCCTACAGGAATATGCTGTACAGGTGCGTAGCATGAGAGCAATAGTTTACACCAGTTAGTCTAGGTGTGCAGTAGCCTGTGGAAGTTTGTGTAAGTACATTCTGTCACACTCCTGCCATGACTTCACTGCCTAATGATGCATTTCTCACAACATATTCCCGTGTACCTACTCTTAATTTCTTTTTCTCTCTTCCTTACTTACTTTTCCCTCCCTCCCTCCCTCTCTCTTCTTTTTCCTTTCCTTCCTTCCTTTTTTTTTTTTAAGACAAGAGTCTCACTCCATTACCCAAGCTAGCTCACAGCAACCTCAGACTCCCGGGCTCAAGCCATGCTCCTGCCTCAGCCTCACAAGAGGCTGGGACTACAGGTGCCTAATTTTTGTATTTTTGGTAGAGACAGGGTCTTGCTCTTGCTTAGCCTGGTCTCAAACTCCTGAGCTCAAATAATCCTCCCGCTTTGGCCTCCCAAAGTGCTAGGATTACAGGTGTGAGCCATCATGCCTGGCCTCGTCCCTCCTTTTCTTGAGGCACAGTCTCGTTCTGTTACTCCAACTAGAGTGCAATGGTGCAATCACAGTGCACTACACCTTGAACTCCCAGACTCAGGCAATTTTCCAACCTCAGCCTCCAGACTAGCTAGGATTCCAGGTATGAGTCATTTTACCTGATGATAGTTTCTTTAAAAAAATTTTTTTTTTAATATGGGGTCTTGCTGGCTCGGCACCTGTGGCTCAAGCAGTTACGGTGCCAGCCACATACACCTGAGCTGGCAGGTTCGAATCCAGCCCAGGCCCACCAAACAACAACAGCTGCAACCAAAAAATAGCCCGGTGCTGTGGCAGGCACCTATAGCCCCAGCTACTTGGGAGGTGGAGGCAGGAGAACTGCTTGAGCCCAGGAGTTAGAGGTTGCTGGCATCACAGCACTCTACCCAGGGTGATAGCTTGAGGCTCCATCTCAAAAACAAAACAAAACAAAACAAAATGGGGTCTTGCTATATTGCTCAGGCTGATCTCAAACTCCTGGCTTTGAGTGATCCTCCCACCTTGACCTCTCATAGTGTTGGGATTATAGGCATGAGCCATCACTCTTGGCCTCTTATTTCTTTCTTAATATTTGAAAATTCTATGTTCAGGTACATTAATACACAAGTTGTGTTATTTTTGTATGTGTGTGACAAGTCTCACTTTGCCACACTTGGTAGAGTGTCATGGAGTCAGTCATACCTTATAGCAACTCTTGGGCTCAAGTGATCCTCTTGCCTCAGCCTCTCAAGTAACTGGGACTACAGGTACCCACAATGCCTAGAGTTTTTTAGAGATGGGGGGTCTCACTCTTGCTCAGGCTGGTCTCAAACTCATGAGTTCAAGCAATCCACCCACTTCAACCTCCCAGAGTGCTAGGATTATAGGTGTGAGCCACCATGCCCCACCCTACATGGAATGGTACTTCTTCATACTCTTTTAAATAAATATTTATGGAGCTCCTGCTATATGTCAGGCACTGTGGATATAGAGAGAGTAAGGAATCCAAAAGAGAAGAAAATTTAAAGAAACATCGATTCCCAGGCATCTTCAACTTTTAGACAATCTGTGGTTTCCCATACTAAACTTCAGTAGGCCTAAATATACTTTTTTATTGGTTATTTCCTACACCGATGGCCATACTAAGGTGGGAACATTCTTTAGATAATGTCTGGATCTTGGAAAGGGTGGCACCAGGGAGCCTCAATGCCCTCTGTCCTTCCCTATGTTCTATCCTTCCACAGTGGGACCCACGAGACCCTTGGACCCTGGGGACTAGCATCTTGCTCACTTCCGTGGACCTTGGCTCTGAGTGAATAACCCCTTACCCTCTCTAACATCCCGTTCTGCTCTGAGGTTGGGGAAGAAATGGGAAGAGGAAGAAGCTTGAATTGAACAGGTAGACACTCCACTTGGCCCAGGCAGCCTCGGCAGGCCCTAATAACACGAGATGGACCCTTTCCCTATAAGGATTCCCCTTTCATCTCTAGGGCCCCCTGGGCTTGAAGAGGCCAGAGACTGTAAGAACCAACATTATAGATTTTGTAATAAACATTAGATGTCAGGGAATAAAACCTCCTTACAAACGGGAGACTGAATTTTCAGTCATTTGGCTTTCAACCACTTTTCAGGGCTGCCTGATGTACAAAAGTGGTGAACTGTGAACAGCTCTCCTTATAGAACGGGGTTTCTAACTCCATTCCAGTTTCATTTGGTCTTTTTTTTTTTAATGTCAGAAGAAAATCTAAAATTAGTACCAACCAACAAATTACCATAAACCTGCTAGAAGATTCATTATGTCTTGGTGTTTGTGCCTGGGCCAGAGCATATTATTTTGGCTGGCATTTCCAAATGATTAAGCTGTATCCTCTACGCCTACCATTCTTTCATCCTAGAAGAAATAAATTAGGTCTTGGATCATTGTTAAACACTCATTCATTGTACTAACAGCAGAATGTTTCAGACAAGTTAGAAACAGTCAGCGTACAGTTCCTGTTTCGTTTTACATCTAAGCGATTATTTTCAAGTATAGCCAAAACATGCAGATGGATAGTCAACTCTGTGGTCCATTACCCAGATGTTTCGTCTAGACATCTACATATATTCACAAGACAGCTGGATGACGGACTGAAGACTGTTTATTCTTCTTAATTTACGGGCTTTGGATAGACACTCTATCTAAATATAGAAGTTGATTTACGATTGTAAAAATTACACAGTAGTTGAAAAGATATATGCAGAGAAGTTTTTCTGCCAATTCAGTGGAAGATAAATACCATCGGTGCATCAGTAGAACTATTCTTGGCAAGTAACTATTATTCAGCTCTCCATTGTCATCTGTTTAAAAAAATAAAACAAGGGGTGAGGAGATAACAGAGCTACTCTTTACTTTTTCTAATATCATTAGAGAAATAACAGTGTCAAAAATTTCTCATAGCATCAATTTCTGCTAGTATTTGCTTGCCAGTTAAAGTGGGTGGGTCTCACCCTTCCTTAAAGTTGACAGATTTAGCAAATAAAAATATGATACCCAGTTACATTGGAATTTCATATGGACAGTAGTTAATTTTTAAGTATATCCCCGGCATTATGTAGGACGTATTTATATTAAACAGGTTGTTTATCTGAAATTCAAATTTAACCAGTCATCTTGTATTTTACCTGGCAACCCAGAGTTAATGGTTTAACGCTGATTGTTAAAGTAATCAATTCAACAAATAACCCCAGCTTGACTCTCTTTACACAAGAAATAATCCAAAATGCTGAGGTGGATACACATGTAATAATACAAAAAGCACATAGCTGTAACGTCTATGATCTAGTAAGAATGGGAAGACGTGAGCAAATAGTCAATGCAGGACATTATTCCACCGACCGACACTTTCCTGAGTCAAAAGACAACAAAATCCACACAACAGGATATACTGCACAAATGTGCCAGAGGAAAGTTGTAAAGGGCCTGTGAGAGAGTGAAGGACGGGACCAGCGTTCCTGACTGGAGAGGTTAGGAAGGGTATTAGGAACCCAGCATTGAGATAAGCCTTGAAGCAGAAGGAATTTGACAATGACGTGGAGGTAGAAAGGTGCAGAGAATGTTTCAGAAACATTAAACTGTTTGGGGCTCGAGCTGAGTGCAGTGCAGGAAAGGAAGACCAGAGAGCAGTGAAACTAGAGAGTCTGGGGTCAATCCACAGACCTCAAATGCCAAGGTTACAGAGACTGAACCCTGTCCCACAAACACCTTGCACCTGAGAGGGGAGGTGAGTGTGTGTCAGTGTACAGAGCGTGGAGGAGGGAGGACAGGCTCGTACCAAACATCTCGATGCACGTGCTCAGCAGCTCATCCAACGTGGCTGCTTTCCCAAGGCCACTGGACCCCATGATTATTGGGCCGTTGTCAAAATACCAGAGACATTTTCAACATCACACGGACCACCTCCATAATCCATGCAAGTCCGTGATGACGGGTATGACCAGTGGTGACCTCTAGACTTGGTTGTCCTTTAAGAAAACTCTAAAGAAATAAGAAAAGAAAGTTATTAGACTCCACTGGGCCATTGCTTTCCTACCCCAAAAGATAATGACTTCCACAGACTATATCTTTCTAAGAGAAAATTATCAAAGTGACCGAGATTACAACTGCCATATGGTGAAATGCCTGCTATAGTGTCCCTGAGCATGGAGAGGGCCTGGAGATGACAGAGATGTTCCCTGTGAAGTGCCATCCCACTTCACAGCTGAAACTTTTCTGATACAACATTTTATACTCTCTTCATTCATGTTCTTCAGTGATAAGACATTCAAGAGTATTATAAAAGTTGCTTATAACATGTTTGATATTAATATATTTACATAAGTATATGGTTTGATATTAATATATTTATATAAGTATATGTGGAGATAAATTTTAAAATATAAATATATTTATAAACATTATCCTTGGTGATTATATAAATGTTCAACAACATTTAAAACTGTTCAACAACTGTAAAAAAAAAATTCTGTTGGCCTAATTTCTCTTACGGTAACATTATTCTTAGCAGGGGTAAGAATATTAACATTATAGTTGATTGAACACTCACATTATACGCTAGGCACCATACCAAATCCTTTATATATTGTATATTAGCCGACCTGACCGTCACAAGAATGCTGCGAGGTAGGGATTATTCTTCCCAGTTTACAGATGAGGTCTTGGGATTTCCAGAGATCCAGCAACACCACACAATTAATTATTAAAGCCTAGAATTAGGACTCCATTATAGAAGATGTCTTTCTCCTTTTATTACTCACTCCCCCAGTGTGGATATCACAAACTGTTACAATTTTGCCCCCTAATCTAGTCTGAAGAATATAATCCTCAACACCATCTCAGAAAGCCGTCCCATTTTACAGAGCTGTCATGGGGAAAATGGGATTGGAGATAACCTCTTATAATTGCTTATACTAAAAGTATCCTTGTCGGGAAAGACACCATCACTTTATTGTACAGAGTAGGTCCTTGATGCCAGACCCATGTTGGACTTGGAGAAGAGCGAGGCTGTCATGATATAAAACATTCATCCACTTTGGACAACGTAGTAGGCAAATGTGGCCATTAAGGGTCCATTTTGCGAGCTGTTTGAAGTCAATGTTTATTTTACTCACAAACTTTATTTACTCACCTGGCAATTATTGAGCACCTGACCTATGCCAGGCCCTAGGTTAGGCATTGAGGATGCCAAGATGAACAGAGCGTCATTATCCCTTCCCGATCTTCCCTGGGCTCACAGTTAACTTCAGAAAGCAACATGTGAACCAGTAGGAAGAAGAGCTAACGTCCATGTGTAAATGGCTGCATTGGTTCAGTGAGACCACTGAAGAGTGACGTTTGAGTACGTTCACCAGGAGAATAACGCTGGAGAAAAAATGCTTACTGTCTACTCATTCTGGGAAAGAACCATATTCTTGGGGCGGTGCCTATGGCTCAGTGAGTAGGGCGCCGGCCCCATATACCAAGGGTGGTGAGTTCAAACCCAGACCGGCCGAACTGCAACCAAAAAATAGCCAGGCACTGTGGTAGGTGCCTGTAGTCCCAACTCCTCGGGAGGCTGAGGCAAGAGAATCGCTTAAGCCCAGGAGTTGGAGGTTGCTGTGAGCTGTGTGACGCCACGGCACTCTAACAAGACCCACAAAGTGAGACTCTGTCTCTACAAAAAAATTAAAAAGAACCATATTCTTGCCCTAAAGGAACCACTCCTAGAGCATAAAAAGAAGGGTGATTTTAAGTATGCAAGAAAAATAACAGCAACACTGGATCAATGATCTCCCGTTAGTACAGCTCAAGTGATTTGCAAAGGGGATTATTAATGTCCTCTGGAAATGACACTTTCATGTCTCTTAGTGAGGTTACCGTATCAGTAAGGCCTTTGCCGACCACACTGTTTAAATAACAACCCCACCTCTCCCTTGGCACACCCTACCTCCCTTCCTGGATTTATTTTTTTCATAACACTTATCACAATCTGACATACTATATATTATACATGTTTGTTTTTTTTTAATCCTTCTAGTGACATAAACATAAGCTTCATGATTGCAGGGATTTTCTGTGTTTGTTCCCTGGCATACTCCTCAATGACCAAGGTTTTGCTTTTTACACAAAATATACTCAAAAAGTATTTGTCGAATTAGTGAATAAGTAGATTAGTGGATAAAGAAATAAATAAAATAAAAACTGTCAAAGATTTGTCTTTGAATATATTTATGTGAATGTGTATGGGTAGCCTTAATTTTTAAGAGGTTATTTTTCAGTTTGTTTTATTAATTTAAATCAGCTTTAAGTAAATATCACTGGGACAGAAGTTCCTGCTGGCTTTCTAGACATAATAGGATTTGTGTATATTTATAACGTAATAAGAACTTGGTGTCTCTGCCAGGACATTTTGGGGCAGCGCTTCCCTGACTTCCTTAATGTCAGCTCTATCAATAACTTTATAAGTCAAGATTGAACAATGAATAAGTCTGATTACCTTTACGTGCATTTTTTAATCCGGTTCCTCACTACAAAGTAGACAAATAGCCTAGATTGACTAAACTGGTTTCTCAATTCAAAACCAAAATTATGCAGCTGAGCTGTTTGGGAGATGGTATTGACCTCCTCACAAGGGGTTAGGGATAACCTGTCACCGTGTTTAGAATTATATTTGTGATCTGCAAAGTAGCAGGCCCTGGCTGAGCCAGGTGGGCCAGGCTATCCTGTTACAATCTGTTTCTGCAATCAGCCCATCTGTCTACGCCTCTGCTTAGCATTCTGTCGCCTGCACATTCACCTGAGATCTCATTTCATACGTGGGGACATTATTATGTCTACTATTGCCTGTTCAAAAATAAGGATTCATTGTTATAAAAGCAGTCTTCACTTTTAATTTAGAACAGAACAGTGAGCCAAAAGGAAAGGAAAAAGTTAATCTCCAAAGAGAACTCTTGTTAATAGCATGTTTCTTTTTAGTTTATCAGGGTACATTTTTCAGGGGAATTTCTTACATAATCCACAATAATGGAAAGAAATATTTACCTGTTCTTCTCCCACAGATTTCCAAATTCAACACAATTTTAAGGGCAGGTATCATCATTGGGAAATGTGTGGAGGAAACAGCCTATGGGGTTGGTTTGCTCAACTCAAATCGTAAGTACTTCAGAGAACCTGATAAAAGAACAGAAAGAAACCCCCAAAGAGAATTAAATAATGGAACTTTAAAAGAATCCCATTGTGTTAAACTATTTCCAAAACCTTTGAGTTATGGGTAGCATTTGAGATTTTGTCTACATGTCACAAATCACACAAATCAATTTAAAAAGGGAAAATATTCAGAACAGTGTTTTGGTAACTTTTTTTTAAAAGTAGGTTTCTTTAAAAAAAATTTAAAAATCCAGCCTACAAAAACCTCCACAAATTGACAAATGTTACAGTGTTAAACACTTACTGTAAATACTATTTTAGTCCAAATAGACTTCTATCTGTAGATGACTCATTAAGAATTTCCAAACACTGACTTGGAAATGTTGGTAAATCCTTAAAACTGTTTATCATGGAGATCACCAAACTCTGACCCTAAATCACTCCTGATTGTCTCAACATGAACGCCCGTGTCACGTTAGCCCAGGTTGTTTAGTCTCCCAAAGTCCCAAAGGTTTAGGACTCGCTGTAGTGTTGATAGCGCTCTGGGCTGCGGTGAAAATTATTGCTCTGCAGCATGGTCATTTTCTCACAAGTCTGAAAAGGACAGGATAAGCCAAATTCCTCTCAGGGTTTGAATTATTTCTAAGAGAAAAGTCCTTATTTCAAAGGACAATAGAACTTTGTTGGGTGTGACTTCAAAGGCCATGCTAATGAACGTGTAGCAAAAAGATTCATTAACATGACTTGTAAAGCATCTGTCCAAAAAAAAAAAAAAA